AGGGTGTTTTCTGAGTAAGTGCTTCACATTCATTTTTCAAGACATTTTATCACTTTCTGATTGTTATATAGCATTTTACTAGGGAAAATTAGTGTTGTCCGTGTATGGAACTCTTTCCGTTTTGAATTTCACTACAGGTAGGCCTGCTTTGAAAATCCATGGAAATTTATGGGATGTATTCTCGTTTAAATTTGAGTCTTTCAGACCTACTTGTATGCAACTAGACTGCCGTGACAGAACCGATGACCTCCCTGCTTAAAAAAAGTTAAATGTGTACAGTATTCTTTCCGTGAGCATTTTAAGAGTATTATGTTTTTTGTCAGTTTTTGTTTTATTCCATCAAGGCTGTAGTGGTCTCAATTATGAGTTAGGCCGACAAAGTGGAATGAAATTTTGAAAATATTCTCCATGCCATGTCATCATCGTGTGTATGTGTATACGTGTGCACGTATATGATTGTACGTGTATGTTATGTACCCGTACTTTGTACCCTTAATCAAGTCTGTGCTGTGGACTCACGGCAAACACTGAATAATGGTCATCTTACAAACCACTATGGTTCCTACCCGCCAGAACTGTGGGTTTAATCCGTCCATCGTGGAACGAGAGCAGCAGATGACGAACCCCACAGTGCTAGGGTATACGGTTCCCCGGCACAAGCACTGACAGGTGAATTCAGTAATTGACTGTTGTTCCCTTTACCGTCCCATGCATACTAGACCAACCTGATGAATTCATTATCATTATTATTTGTTCCTTCTACAGTGATTTGTTGAAATTTGAATAGAGGCTGACATTTTATGACTAGGCATTCAGTCTGTTAAGGGTGTGTGTTCAAATGCCAATTGTTCTTGTTTGTGAACGCAAATTATAGCACAATGGTGAAATGTGCAGCGGACTCCGAAGCCCACCACTGGCCAGTTGTGCTGGCCAGTTTTGTGGCCACTAGTTTGACGCACGGACTGGCTAGCTCCGTCGGTGTGCTCTACATAGAATGGCATGAGGAGTTTCCGGAGAGCTCTGCCTTGATCGGTTGGCTGTCGTCATCCTTGCTGGCAATGCTTCTTTGCTTTTGTAAGTTTTTAGTTGTTGTTTTTGCCTCATTCTTACAAAGATTTCAGTCTCTTCAAATGTATCTTTTGGGAAAGCGCATAGTCAAAATAATGATTTTGTGTGTGTTTTTTATCGGATTGTACAACACCCTGAGAAGGTTCTGTATGGAGGGCGCTTTGAAAGAAGGTTTTTTTTTGGGGGGGGAAGGGCCTTGCATGTCCTCGTACTAAAGGTCCAACTTACTTATTTGGGATTTAGCTGTGATCGCCCATTAAAGTCTTTCAATTTCCAGTGGGATCCTTTGCAAGGAGAAACCTGCAGAGAATGAGAGGAAAACCCTTTACATAATTATACAGGGGTTGATATTAAGCTTTTTTGCCCAGAAGCCCAAACAGCTCCCGGCCTGTCCGAAATTTCAGGGGTTTTAGGGAGCTGTTTCACTGAACCTGGAAGCTATATTCTAGGTAAATCATGTTCTGCTTTCGATTACATACTTCTCAAAAATAGGGTCAGTAGGTCGGAAATTTTTGGGGGGTTAATTTTTTTGTGCCAATTGAATGGCATAAATGGGGACAATTCACAACACAATGCTAGTCAAGTAATCACGACGGCAAACTGGACAACGATGTTGGAGTATTGCACGGTAAGCGTCCAAGATGCATCCAACAGGCAGGCGCGACAAACCCTGTGCCGCGCGCGGCAGGATTTTTTTTGGAAACACGCTCGCTTCAACTACGAGCAAAATCACATCAAATGAAACTCGTGAACACACAAATACATTCACAGACAAAAGACCAAGTTCTGTGAATGAACTTAAGTTGCAGAAATCCTCCTGCAACATCGATGTATTTTGACTTGCAGCTGGCTGTAGCAGTGTGCACGGGGTTGCGTGTTACAGCCGATGTGGTGTAATGGGCCGGGGCGTCTAGACTGGTTGTCACAATTTCATCACGCGTTCCCATGGGCGCGGCCGGGCGGGAACCAGCGCAGCTTCGCTTCAACGGATTGCAATTGAACTTTAATTTGCGCACGTGTTCTCACCGCTGGGACAGCGGCATGCGAAGGGAACTTAGATTTTCAAATATTGCAAATTTAAGTAGGAAAACATATAAAGCAGCCATGCATTTTAACGTGAAAAAACGTTGTCGAACCATGGAGGAAGGACACAATTTTGGTCAGACGCAAAAGAGCCTGTTCCCAACTTCAAAAAGAGTTCGATTGATATCCCATCACCCCAGTTCATAGAAATTAATGTTTGGATTTTTTCAGTTTTATATTTCTTCTGTTTTTAGCCCCTATGGCAGGAGCTCTTGTCAAGTACTTCGGGGTTCGCCCGGTAGTTGTCACTGGGGGTCTGCTGTCTTTCACGGGGCTGCTGATCGCGTCATTCGCTTGGGAATTCTACGTACTCTTCATTACTATCCCATTTATGGCAGGTAATCAAGTTTTCAGTTTGATTGTAGCCCCATAAGTTCTCACTTTTAGAGGTACTTTTTAGAAGTTTTTCTTAAGTTTTTGAAACACTGTATTTGCAGGTCCTCAAAACTACTCAAACATGAGTATTTATTTATGCCCCAAGTCAGGAATCAGTGTAGGATTGTAGTTGGCCTAGTTCCCCAGAACTCAACAGAAGTTTTATAGAACCGTCCATTGACCTTAAGACTTGATTCAGAAGGCAGCTATATATGGCATTGAAAGCGAGGTTAACTTTTCATGTTTGGAACCTGAGAGTGAAAATGAAAATTTGACAAATGCAGGTAAACGCTCGTTGCAAAATAACGTCAGTTTGTGCTGATGAATAGTTCAAGACTTGTCATCAATTATATCTAAATGTCTTAAGCCTCATTTAAAAATGTAAGGCTTAGAACCCAAAGTAGTACAGCTCCAACCCATGTAAGATATTGCGTTGAATGGGATGGATTCAGAGAATACGACTGAGAATGGCCTCCCTGTCAATGATGTCTGTTAAAGCACCAAAGTTTCTCATACAGATGAGAAATATTTTGGGGCATTAGCTCACTTATAATCGTGAAGACGAATCCAGCAACTTTGCACTGGACCTTCCTGATGGCCACCTTGAATGGCAGAAAGCATCAAGTGTTGTATGGAGCAACTGTCACAGGTACTGCAGGTCAACTCGCCCCCTGGCCGATTTGCCCCTTACCGACTCACCCCTTTCTGACTCGCCCCCTTGCCAACTCAACCACTGACCGACTCGCTCCTTACCATCTCGCCCCCTAGCCAACTTCCCCCCTGGCCGAGTCACCCCCTAGCTGACTCGCCAGCTTGCTAATTTGACCCCCGGCAAACTCACCTCCTGACCAAGTCACCCCCTCAGAGGAGAGTCTGCTGGTTTGGACCACTGACTACATTTCCAAAGTGATATAGACAGGAATACACTATAAAATGAGTGCTTTGAAATATGTGATTTCCAAAGTGATAATACATGTAGGCCCAAGTGTCCTGGCAGAAGGCAGGATATTGAAGAATTCACCTTAAGGGGATTATTGAGAATTATTCAAGAAACTTATGTTTGGTTGTCTGGTACTCATTATTACCTTGACCTACGGGTATTTAAATTGTTCCATGCAACTGATTATGTGTAAATCTCACTTTAAATATAATTTAAATAAAATGTCTTTTACTCTCAACTTTAAGCTGTGTTCATCGTGCTTTTATTATAACCATCATTACGACCATTATTATTATTTTTACTGCAGTTGTTGATCGTGGCAACATACTGTGCACCAGGGGCCAAGCCAAGAAACAATGACGACACAATTTTGAGGATTTAAATCCAACTCGCATGCATTAAAACTATAAACTGGACAAAGTGGACTTTCACCAGAATGTTAAGAAAGTTAATAGAGCTCAAGGAAGAAGCCATCTGACCTTGAAAGGGGAATGATTTCGTAAAAAAAGAGAAAATGATATTACCACAAAACTAACATGATAATGTGGAAGAAAAGAAATTAACAAGGGGGTGACTTGGTCAGAAGGCGAGTTTGCCAGGGGGCGAGTTGGCAAGGGGATGAGTCAGCCGGGGGGCGACTCGTCTGGGGCCGAGTTGGCAAAGGGGCGAGATGGTAACGGGGGGGGGAATTGGCAAGGGGGTGAGTCGGTAAGGGAAGAGTTGGCAAGGGGGTGAGTAGACCTGATTCCATCACAGAGCCTTTGCTCCGTATAATAGTTATCGCATTGCTTAATACTGTTGGCGGGGGCCTCTGAAAATGACCATTGAGGGCATTTCCATGGTCAGCATATTGGATATATGCATGAAGCTAGCTTACGAACTAAGACATTTACCTCTTGTATATAGGTATTGGCTTTGGTATGTCCTACACTGGTGTGATGGTCACAGTCAGCGAACATTTCCACAAGCATTACGCCATGGCCAATGGCATAACAATGTCAGGAGCGAGTGTGGGAATGGTCCTGCTTCCAGTCTTCTTCCAGTTCTTGATTGATCAGTACGGGTGGAGGAGAGCATTGCTGGTGACCAGCGCACTGCAAGCCAACGTATTGGTGTGCGGAGGGGTTATGAGGTCACCCCAGTCAACCCTCAGAAAATGGAAACGAAACTCTGGTGTTAGTTTCGTGCCCGAGAGCAGCGGAAGGCATCAGAAGCTTGGCAGAACTGTGTATCACTTGAAGATGGAGCGCAGTAAGATGTTATCAGCCAGTGGAAATCAGGTTAAAGTAGATGTTTGCAATAATGCCTCGGAACAGGATGTGAGGATTACTACATTATCACCTGGTATTGATTATGAATGTCTCCCTGCTGATAATCTAGCTGAGAGCAAGGGTCGGGGGTTAGCATTGAGGGTAACATGTTCAGAGAGAGTCAAGGCTTTCTTTGACCACTCGGGGATCTCCCTCTTCTGGACCAATCGCGTTTTCAACGGCTTTATGGCCGTCTCAGTTTCCATTTCGGCCATTTACGGTGTCACCCTGCCTTACATCGCAGCCCGAGCCAAGTCGGTTGGTGTTCCGGAGTTGGAAGCCTCGCTGTTGGTGTCGGTCATTGGGATTTCCAACATGCTGAGCCGGCTGACTCATGGCAGGCTGCTAGACTCCGACGTAATCCAGCCGGCCTACCTGTATGTGGTATTTGTGCTGCCAGCCACTGTCGCTGGACCGGTCATTGCCACTGTGCAGAGCTTCACTGTGCTAGTGGTCAGCACAGTATTGATTGGACTTGCTGCCGGAGCTTACATCCCCATGCAGGCAGTCATCATTCGTCGAATTGTGGGAAAAGACAGATTCCCCGGTGGGTTTGCCATGGGACTGGTCTTTGTTGCAGTTGGCAACATGGCATCAGCTGCCATTGCAGGTAGAGAAAAACTGAGAAAAGCTCGGAAGACATCAGCATTATCATATTATCAAACCTTAGTGTCAGGCTGAATCTATTGGGGGCTAGCCTAAATATGTATACTCAACTGAGAGACTGAAGTCATTTTAGGGCGAGAATTTCAGGGGGTTTAGAGAGACTAATTATGAAAAAACAACGTAGGTTGTTAGGCTTTTAGGGTGAAAATATTGAGGAAAAAAATTTAACTTTTTTAGAATTTTCTGTTAAAGAGGGAAGGAGAATCTCACTTAACCACAGCCAAATATAAGGATCAAATTTTCAGAAAAGTGTGAGATTTGGGCCACAAATTTTGCAGCTCAATTACATATGTACCTCAGTTAGTTTACATAGTATTGATTGCGACAGATCTTCAACACAAAAAGTAGAGTAAATATAGTTTTATTATTGAGCCGACCTAACTATTAAATTAAAAAATTATTTCTGAAATTGAGTATTTCGAGATGAAAAATCAATGAGATGAAAAGGGAAACAATTGTTTGATCACAGAATTGCTTCCTAAAAGTAGCTGATATATGCCTTACAGTAGCCAAAACATTGTACCCTTCCCTTCAGGTTTTGGGGTTTTTTTTGGGGGGGGTTACTTTTTGTGGCAAGGAAATTGAATTTCAGTTAGGAACTGTGTACATCGTCCTCCTATCTTTAGCCAGGGGGAAAGACTCCTGTCCCCAAACTATATGATTTATCAGTAGATCACCACACAACTTGACATGCACAGTTTGCCTTGGCAGGAATATGGGTTAACCAAATACATGCAGTCAGATAATATTAACTGAATATTCAGTTATTTAAATTAACCTGGGCCTTATAATGTTATCAGACGTTTACAGTTGGCATGATGTTAGAGTTGATGCTAGTACCTCCACCCACATTTCCACCTCTTCCCCTGCCTATCCCCACCTACTCATGCACTCGTCCTCCCCCACCACCTTCCTCGCCATCAACATAGCCCAAACCCTATCTATGTCAGTGTAGCTTTTTAGAAAAGCAATTGAAGACCGCTTGCTCCCATGTTGAAACATCCCCAAAAGACAGAGCACTCTCTGTGTTCTTTTGAACCGAGTGGATTTTACATTGTATCCTGTTCCTATCCAAACGCAGGCTATCTGGCCGACACAACAGGTAGTTACAGTGCTGGTTTTCTCTTCATGGCCGGCATTTCTGGACTCTGTGTCATGTTGATGCTCGGCCTGCACATGCTCTGGACAAGACTGGTTCCTGACACGCGATGGCCAGTAATTCCTTGAAATTACCCCCCCCCCAGTAAGTCTTTTACCTAGTTGTGCATGTTCTTGTCAGTTCCCACAACTCTGTTTAGTTTAGTCCCCCTTAACCACCCACTTGTGTAAGGGAGCAAATCCCGAGAATATTTGGACTTGCACAAAAATATATAAAATTTGTCAGAACCTGTCTCCCTGCCCTTTCGGATGTCCATTATTTTACTGATTTTTTTTTTCTGGGTCTGTGCTTTAGGACGATCAGTTGTATGGAGCCCCTGGCTGACATCATATTGTACATACCTGTTGCACTTGAATGGCTATGTGTCCTAGATGACAAACACGATGGACAGCAGCACTTGGATCTGATCATCACTATGCCATTATCTGTGTCTGTGAGACATCACCATGACCTGCAGTGCAAGGCAAGTCCGGGTGACAAACATTTATCGATCACTGATCAATTTTCCCCTGATAACCCGCAGACTGAATCCATCTTGGGTACCAGGCAAAAATGACCAGTGGATGACAAATGGTTGATACATTTTACAACAGTCTGGCTCCCAAACCAAATGATTGTGATTATTTGACAGAATTGTTCGGTCTGGTAGCTGCTATGATCGTGTGACAAAAACAAGAGATGCTGGTGTTTCCAAAACTTTACAAAGTTTTCTGAACCCATTTTGCGAAATGTTTTGCAAAAGATGAATGGATATTGAACAAAGCTAACAAAAGCTTGCCCCTCAAAAACCCACACCCCTGAAAGCTGGTGCCCCCCATAAGATGCTGGTGTCCCCTTGGGTCCCCCCCCCACTAGTAAAATCCTAGCTACGCCACTGTGACCAACATGGCTACCCATGCACCACTGCAGACATGACATGGTACATTACACTGAACCATACTATTTTTGTCAGTGGAATGTATACACACTTCGGGGAATCAATCAAGTCTTGGACCAAGACTATCTTCACAGTAAATGCTTATGCAATTTCCATAACTGCTGTTACTGCTCAGGCGGTAGATTGGGTTTTCTTTTGAAACCCTACTTCAACAGAAGTGACAAAAGCTAATTACTGTTAAATGGTAAGGATTCGTGTCGCACTTATGCAAGTTTAGGAAATGGTGTTCGAGTGTTTTTTGTTGTGATGTTTTTGAAAGCTGGCGATGCAAAAACCCTGTGAAGGTATTTCACCATCATATTGCAAAAGTGCCTCATACAAAATGCAGCTTATTTTCTACAGGATAATTTTTATACAAATCAGATTTACAACATGTATACTGTAATAAATGACAGGATTCTTTTCTGAAAATTGAAATTTAGGCCTCGTGGCCATGTATAAAATGAATTGCCACCTGGTATTTTCCCTAGTTGTGCTTTAAATTGCGTGCCTACTTGAGGTGCATTTCGAATACGTGTAGACCAATAGCGCCTGCCAAGTCATGTGACCTATAGTGGGTATCATAACATCAACAAACATGGCATTCTCCCACAGAAAAGTGTGTTGTAAGTGTCCACCCAAAAGTCGAGCCGGTTTTCAGTACAGTACTCTGCACTCAGTAGTCTCTAACGGCCATCGTTTTTTATTTTTGTTTTTGTATATGACTTTCAAAACACACTTCAAGTTTGCTTTGGGAGGATGCCATGTTTATGTTTGATACAGGGTGCCCGCAACAGGTCACGTGATTAAGCAAGTCCAATTCGTCTAGTGATCCAATTTATGTGGATATTACTTGTTTCAAAACACTCAAGTGTGTGTCGAAAGAGAACGTGACATTCTCTGCACTCAAAACAATTGGTCCCCCATAAAAAAAAATGTCGGACCAAAACCTCAAATGGCTGAGCTGTATGCAGTTCTGAATGGATCCTGTAAAAAAAAGCATGCACAGTCGGGTGCTAGTTTTGAGTAGTTTCAGGATAGTTATGGAGCAAATTAGGGGTAGAAGTTGGGTTAGGCGATCGAGAATGCATAATGTTGTGCGTGATACCCAATGTAACTTTCTTTTGCTATGGTACAATACATATGTTACAGTCATTTGTCAGTTTTATTTATAATGAGAGTAATGTTCAGAAAGTTTCACCAAAATATATCAAGCCTCCTTGGGAAGTGCACTTATAAACAAAGCATCACATTATGTTTCAGGTCTGTTGACACTTCAATAATATATCCAGGCAGGGTTTCCATCATATTGCCCTTGTCGTCAGATGTTACAAGTCACTTTGTGCATATCTTTGAATAACGAGAATGTCTGTCACAGATATAAATAAATGAGTATAGTCCTTTATGCATTACTTTAAACCTTTTCTACCAGTGCTTTTCCACTCTGCATTTTTACCGAGTATGGGATTAGTTTTCCTAATGCTTCTGATTAGCCTTTTATGAATTTTATTTTTGAATTATGTTATAAATGTTTATATCCACAAATCTTTTTATTATATATTCATAAGCTGTGTGCATTAAACTTTAATGAATGTGTGCATTAAACTTTAATAAATCAATAATTATGCCCGGAATTTAATTTTTTATTTAAGGTCAAGATATCCAGTATTGTATTTGAGTCCATCACAAGTCTTTTCACAAGTTCCTTCACAATGCCAGTCAAGAGTAACAGGGTGAGAAATGACAGGAATGCTTTCGTCACAGCTCATTTGAATAGTTTGTGAATTGGCTTAAGACTGAATAACTTGTGATAGACTTACAGGGACTTGCAGGGACTTGTGGACTTGAATGCAGCACTGAAGATATCACCAGAAGTGTATAAAAGTTGTACATTTATTATTGTATTTTGCAAATGTAATGAATTTAAATATCAATAAAAAAATCGGCAAAATGTGGGGCAGTTATTGATACAAAAGTGGCAACTCCATTGTTTTCCTTCCTGTTCTTGAAATCAAAGGATTCAAGATAAATTTTAAATGGTTTAAATGTTTTCTATTTACATCTTATCTGAGCATGCTTTCTCTTTAAACGTTGGCATGCCTGTGGAGCATTTCCAGACCACTCGTGTTACTCACCATTGTAATAACGAACAAGTGGTTAACAATTTCAACATTGTGTTCACTTATCTGCTTGAAAGCAGTAAATGACAATTCCATATACCGTTTGACAATCGCTTTCCACCGGTAGGGGAATCTTGTGCTTTGACTGTCTAACTCGTTGGTATAATGAATGGAAACCAATATGCTTGGCTGGTCTTAAACATTAGTTAAGACCAGCAGACGATGGATGCTGGTAATGGCCCAAGCTAAAGGCAAGGGACATTATCGGGGTTCATTCTCCTGAGCCGTCTTCATTCTAGACCAGACCAGTCCAGCGAATATTTTTATCCTTATTAAAGCCTACTTTAATAAAATGTTTCAAATGCTATGACAGCAACTATGTGAAGTAAAGCATGGAATAAAGATATTTGGCTTGAACTAAAAAACTGTTGAAAAAAATCTTTACGACCACACCATTGCAGGCACCCTTATCCTGTTAATATTCAAAAGTGGGGTTAAGGGTTATTGCGTATTGCAACATGATTTCTCCTCCATTAAAATTCAGAGCAAAAGAAATTCCTGAATTTTATTTCATGTTCAAGGCAAAAAAGTTAGAAAACAAGACAACATTTTATATATTTTACAGGAAGACAAGGGACTTGAAAGTTGCATGTATCTACTTGGGAATTTATTACACGTACTTTAATTCTGGTAACACATGTAACGGAACTGAATAAATAATTTTCTGGCAAAAAATGATGGGAAAATTTGGAAAACTGGAACATTTTTAGTTTTTTTTTTAATCATTACCAATATTGCAAAATATGTTTTACCTGACAAAACGTTTTTGGGGGAGGGCCCCAACTGAATCCGAATGAAACTAAACATACTCTAAAAGTGAAATGTGAATGTTAACTAACTACTCTGCTGCAGAGGTGAGGGCGAGGCTTTGGTTTTTTTTTCAGGAAAACATCCTGAATCTTTAAAATTGATCTTTGATATAACACAGCAGTACACAACTACTATAAGAACTTAACACTGCACCCTTCCTTTATCAACACTCCTGAAAAACACTCCCCCAAATGTCATGATATCTGGATTTCGTCACCATGAACTTGATAGTAAAAAGTCTTCAGCAAAATGGATAATTTTTATGAAGATTTCATAAAAAAGCAGTAGGATCAGTCAATATGAGCAATTATGCAGAAAATGACAAATGCATGTGAAAAATGACAAAAACATAAATGTGCATTGGATTTGCATTATAAATTAAACAGTAGGTTGTAAAAACTGCATTGAAAATAATGGGTATAAAATTAATATGTACACACACACTGCCACAATCGAAATGGGAACATCGTTAAATTACAATATTCCAGAGGATTAAAATCGGATTGACTAAATGCACAGGATTTTGTATATGACAAGGCAATTCCACTGAAACGACATAAAGTGAGCTGAAAGATTTGTATGGCCTAATGCACAAATGTGTTGATATGGAAAGAACAAATCTCCCGTGGCAAAATTAAATAGCTATGAATCAACACATCAGCTAGAGCTCTCCAGAGAGCCACAAATATGACAACAGTAGCATTCTAGCTTTGACAATAACAGGTCCTCCCCCACTTGCCACTGGGGTTTCCGGTACCGGGCCTGTATTCTTGATACGTGTGGCCGGGGTCTCCGAATATACAGGCACGAAATGGGACAAAGGGGTACCCCCCCAACAAGTCTAATCCCTATACACACTCCAGCCAATTGTCAATTAACACATCCCCCCTAGATGTCTGAAAAGAATTCCTGAGATACCAGTATAACAATGACCAACACAAAGGCGGGGGGGGGGCTCTCTCTGTCCCATAGTTTGCTTCATATGTTTCTGAAATCGGACAAAGGGAACTGGGCCTTGTAACAAAAGACCAGGCTGCTGGACATTGCCAACATTTTTTCGCTCTCAATAGTGGAGATAATCCAGCCTTGTTTTGAAACAGTATACCACGGTTTTGGGGATTTAGCATGAGCAGATTACCACGGGGACAAAAGCACTCCACCACTGCAGGGATGAGCCACACAGTGTCGCTGCATGCTAATCTGGCCCCTATTGAAAAGAGGTCAGCAGCACACTGTGCCAGTTTCGTGAACAAAAGAAAATTACGTAACACCGCAAAATCTGGGCTCTTTTTACAAGGCGGCAGGCCTGGCTGAAATACTTCAGCGTCAATAGATATTGTCTGTCAGATTAGAGTAAAAACCAGACAGTCTTTCATGTGGGTGTAAGTATCCAGTAAATGAAGATAAGAATTTTAAAAGAATTTTGGAAACAGAAAAAAATGATAATTATCCCGTCCCAGCATCATCAACATTGATAAATGCCACCGGCGCGAAGTGGTTATACAGCAAGTTTCACCTTGAGATTCTTTTCCAGGCCTGTACATTAAGTACAGGCTCAAATCTAGAGATTTCTAATGGTTCCTATTGTGTAGGTGCACCTACTGTGTAGGTGCACAGGTGTAGGTGCATAGGGCACGAGCAATGTAGCATTGGTTAACCAAGGCGTCTCAATCCATCTTACTCCAATTCAAAAACATTTGATTCACATATTTTCTTTTTGTAACAAACGACATGTACTATCCTTATTCTTCCTCGGCAAATGTGCGCAAGAATTTAGATGTCTTGTATGGTCGCTCCATATGCAGCGAGTGGCCACAACGTTCAAGCACGTGCACCTGACACTCGGGAATGCCCTCCTTGAGAACGGAGGCCCCAGAAGGATGGAGCAACTGAAAAACAAAAGATCGCCAGTGTCAGAATAAGGCTGAGAAAAGACCACAGCAGGATTTGAACCCAAGACCTCTTCAGGATATCAGACTGGTGCTCCACCAACTTGGCTATTCAGAATTTTCTACCATGCTCAGCAAGTTGGAATGTCCAATGTGGAACTTGTGCACAAAGTCCTGATTTTAGCACGTTTCACCAATATCTTCCAACTTCAAGGAATCTTTAATTGTACTTTTAGAGGGTGAATTTGGAATTTTCAACCTAACTTTACAACCAGCCAAGATGACAGCTGGCTGCTGTGGAAGCGGCACCTGTTACAACTGCTGTGTATAATCTGAGAAGACGACCCCGGGCAAACTAAGCCTACGTCTGATGATGACGACAAGTGTTTAACCCTGGCTTCATTTGGTCTGTAGCACAGTCTAAGAAAAAAACCATTTTCTTCATTTGTGACCTACAATGCAGACATCATAGCCTTCCCTTTGAAAAGGAAATTTTGGAAACGTACCCTGTTAAGAATGGATGATGGGTTCCCTTATACAGTGATGCAGGAAAGTTTTATTATAACAAGCGGAGACTCTGTTTTTATGGCCTAGGGTGATGGAGCTAAAAAGCAAAGATATTTGAGCACACTACAGGAAAAAGCACACTTCACAAAGAAACTTTACACCCCTGGCGCATCAATGCCAGGAACACAAAGCTTTATAGTAAACAATCCCCAGTATTGATTACCTTGTCGTGTTCGCCCCAGATCACCAGGGTAGGTACACTGATGGATGCCATGTTGGCCCGCAGGGAATCCTTGGAGGTTGGGGCCATCATATCGTTCATCACTGCAACCAATTGAGTCAAGAAAGGGAGATCATGAACGAGGTGGATTTGGGGGAGGGGGGCCGAGCCTTGCTGGATGACAAGCCGCTACTAGACTCTGATCAAGTTCACTACTGCCAGATGGATAGAAATTGGCTCAACTCAATGCATTTCGATGTCCCTTTGATTGAACAGTTAAAACAAACTTAAACCCTAAACCTCAAAGGTGAGTGAAAAACTGTACAAGAATTGGAAGATTGGGGACTGTTGGGCTAGAACAAGTAGCCCAAGCAATTCACTAGTTACTAATTTCCAGTAGCTTGAGGAGCTACTCTCCACTTTCCACCCTCATTTGTCTAAAACCAGCCCTGAGGCTGGCTTGCTCTACACTACTCACCTTTCCTGTAGAATGCATTGTTGTTTTTCCTGAGAAGTCTCATCCCTTTCCAATACTGTAAAGAACAAAAAACAGCTGATGTTAAGAGAAAAGCATCTTGCCGGTCCAGAAATGTTTACAAGGGATCAAAAACACTGAAGCTCCATGCCATCAGTTTGTGCTTCAAAGTTAAAGAGAATTTTAAAAAAGAGTGAACTTGATGAGTTCCCTGGTTCATATGGCTTATCTGGTTCAAACCTTAGTGGCCTCAAACTTTGACCACTGAATTTCATTTAACACCAACATGCCTAGCTAGCCACTCAAAAGAACATTTAACTAAGGTGGCCATGATCTACCGTCTTCAATGAATATCACACTTAAGTTTCTAATTAAAGACTTCTTACTCAGTTATCTTTCCTCCAGCTATTCAAGGCTTGCTCTGGAGGGAGACAGTGCTGAAGTGCGTATCTCAAAGGCTGCCCTACGTCAAATATTAAACTTTGCAACTACAATGCTACGGTTAGAAAAGAGACTCACCAGACTTGGAACTTTTGGGACCTCATACATCAAGAACGGCAACATCTTGCTGTAATCTTCATCCTTTTCTGGCAGCAAGCCATTAGCAAGTCTGCCATCATTCACAGCCAACTCAAACTCACTGGGTATTTTGGACTGGATTCCTACAACAAAAATTACATACAAGAGTTTAAATATCAATAAATATTGAGTACTTTCCATGGATGCCTTGTGAAAGGACTATGTTTCCTGTTTAGAAATCCCAAGACATTCCTATTTCCCAGAAATCTTTCCCCTATAAATCAGACCATCTTTATCCCTGAAGTACTTACATATACAAGTAATTTACATGAAGCAGGTGTCTTAAATTCTTAAAAATTTCAATCAAATACTTCAGCTCAAGAGTGTGCGGTCTTCTGACCAATTTAGCTGCCTTCCTCTACGCTGCAGTCTTTTGTAACAAGGGAGTTATGAACCAGTCTCAGAGTGAAAGCCATCACCTCAAAGAATGGCATGTTCTGTTATCTATCACATGCACAGGATATAAAGAATCCTCCGTTAGTATTCAGTCTGCAGGAGATTTCAAAGTTGTGAACTTCATGAGAACTTTTTAAAGCAGAGATCATATTTCACTCTTATTTTTCTGTGTTTTACATGAATTGCACAAGCGATATGTCCCACTAGGGGCATCACACCATATGACCTTTGTGTTTACCATGTCAGTCTGCTAACAAGTTTTACCGATCAGCTATCAAAACAAATTGGCCTCGTTCCAAAAATTGCTGGAAAACAACCTCACCTTCTTTCCACACAAAAGGATCAAGGGTCATCTTGCCATCAAGTCAACAGACTGTTTTTCCAGATTCTTCCGGGGTTGCACAGGGGGGTTGTCCATTACGTGTACACATTCGTGCAATGTCTTACAGCCTGCTTATTGGGACAGCCACTTTGCTTTGGATAACCTTGTCGACTTAGAAGTTTGGTTACCACAATGTAGCAAACTGATAAGTTTACCAGTGCTCTTCATGATCAAAATCTAGAAATTCATTCTACTGATCAGAATAAGATGGATGGGTACACAAGATGAGCATCATCAGGTCCCATGCTGTGGTCCTGAACTCATCAAACAGCATCCTTGTAAGGCAAACTTCACCAGGACACACAACTAGCTAAGGAAATCTTCCAGTGCTATCAAAGCAAGAAAGAGAGCCTGAGATAACTATTTACTCTACTTCGAGACAAGTCAATGACCTTGCATAGTGACCTTTGACGTAACAAGCCTGGCTCTAACCTGCGGGGCAGAACATGGTGAGCTTGGCCAGATCCTCCGAGTACTTAGCAGCGTAAATCCCAGCTACGCCGCCGCCCATGGAAATTCCCACCAGATGGAAGGGCCTCTTACGCAGACCGACAGCTTGGGTGAACTGCATTTAAAAGGAAACAAAATTCAGTGTTTATGTCAATTGCAGGTGCTAGCTTTGCAACAACATGTTAATCTCCCATTATGGCAGGATTTACAGTTGGGGCAAAAAGTTTGCGTACTTGGTAGAAAAAAGTTTTCCTAAATTTTTGGCCGTTTGAAATAATTTTGCCAACTTTTTCTTTATGCGGTCAGACAAATTGTATCTCAACTTAACATGCTTAGTGTTCATAGTGTGCACTTCAATTGAAACAACGCAGAGAAATTTATTAGGGTTCAAAATATTAATATTTCTGAAAAATCATTTTGTGAAAATTTACATTTACCCCCCCTTATTGCCATTCAAAAACACTTCATAAAGTGATCCACTGCGACTACGAGATTTGCCAAAAATAAAGAAAGTGGCAGTAAATATTAGGGTTGGAGCATGTAAAATTTAGATTTTTGGAAATACAAATGTGAATCATACAGGTAAATATGTCTCTGGATGTTTTTATTTGACGCATACACCATACATGTACATTAAGTAAAGACCCATCTTGTCTGTCGCCATGAAAGGAAAAGTTGGCAGGAAGAGTGAAATTGTGAAATTTGAGGAAATCCGTTTTTGTTCAACCAGGTGTACGTCAATTTTTTGCCCCAACTGTACATGAACTGCATGCTCCGTGCTGCCAGAGAGCTTGTGAGTGATTGGCTGATTTGACTCCAGAACAAAGCACAACCCAAGACTGCCCCAAACACATAAATTGTCCAAGTATTGAACTCCTTCCGTGTGAGAGTGTTCCAGAGTTGTCTCTCTCACTGTTAGAGGATGGTACGAGGCTATGTACAAGCCTCAACAATACAACTGCCACAGTTTGACTTTCTAAGTGTTCTGTAGACTCTTTTCCAGCCACTCATGAAGTCACAGCTCATCAAGTTGCATACCTGCCGTATCCTTGCAGCTTGGGCAGGCAGGGAGAAACTGTCGCTCATCTTACGAGTTGTCTTGCCATGTCCAGGCATATCCACGGCCACAATGTGCCATTCCTTGGGCAAATGCTGTCAGAAAAGAAAAATTTGGGATTCTTTTACGACATTGTCAAATGACCTACAAAATAAAACAGAAAAAGGATTCTGCCCAGACCCAGACAAGAGCTGGGAGTAACTAATTAATTCCAAGGATCACACAAAAAACACTTGAGGTTTGGATTTACGGGTTCTGGAAGTTACCTCACTATTTCACACAAATCCTGCGGCTCAAGTAAGTCCTTTACCCAAGTTTTATTCTTAGTCACAGACATTGCACTAATTCAAAAACATCACATATATTCATCTACAATTGTTTTTCCGTTTGTTCAAAGTTTCAGTCATGCTTTCACTGCTGCACCAGATTTTCAAGACACAACGAGGGCATAAAGAAGTTGCCATAAACAGCGCCACCTAGTGCTGCATGGTGCCCGCTCACCTTGGACGATGCCCCCCAGTGTCAAATGATACCCAAAACCTCCTCCCCGCAGGATAAATAATCAGCTAAATGGGAAAGGGGGTTGAGGGAAGAGGGAGCTGTTCAGGATGACGGGGTTGGACACACTTCGGTAGTGGGTGGCACTGTTGATGGCAGCCTGACCTTTGCTAACAGATGCACGGTTCTGCTGACCAGCACGGGACTTTGAGAATGGTGAAGGGTATCACATCCCCTCCATGGGCCACGCCCCTGCCCCTGCCCCTGCCCCCACCCCTGCCCCCCACCTCCGCAATACCCAAGCAGTGCTGTGAAGTTACCTGTAGCCCCCCTCGTCATTATTACTATACCTTCACAAATGGCCACCACATGTCCTGGGCAGCTGAGAACCCATGCAGGAACAGCATTGAAGGGCGGGAAGGGTCTGGCTGACCTCGCTCTGCAAAGGAAAAGGTGTACTTGCTGACGGTGACTGATTTGGAACGGAAACCAATGTGCCACATCTTGAAGCTGCGGGAAATAGAATGAATAACAGAATTGAACTGAGTTAGACCACAGAACATCTGGAGGTTAGGTTGACGGGTTGCAAGCATTCCCCAACCACAGACTCCGTTCACCTGCTGACTAAAGTTGCAAAGAATGGGAATGGGTACTTGGGTTAAAAATGTTAACTCACAACACCTTCAAAAGCATGAAAAAGCACCTTAATTTCAAAAGTTTGTGGTGGAAAACTTTTGAACATGTTTTCCACCCCAACTACATGGCAGCCTCCAACTACCACATCAAGAAAGAGAGATAGATCTGCTTCAAAAAATAAGTCACTAAGAATTCCAATTTTATTTTAGTGCTCTGTGACAACCATTCCCCAGATTTGCATCATATTCTTATCCAGCATGCGTTTGAAAAAAAAAAAATACTCTACACAGTACAAAACTTTAAAAAATTTCTCACCGGGTGTAGAGCCTGAAGACCAGGTCTGGACGGAAGAAGACGATGGCCGCAGTGGTGAGAATCGTGGGCGAGAAGAAGATGAGGAAGGGTAGCATCATCATGCCGATGCACATGAGGGGTGGCACCAGGGCCAGCTTGAATATAGTATGCATTGTGAGGATACCAGGCGGAGGATTTCGACAGCAGAAGTGGTAGAGGGTAGGTGGCTGTCCACACTCCTACAGTGAGATTCCTTCACAGCCTCTTAGCTATTTATCAAGGAAGGACATAAAAAATTACAGAAGGAACAACTATTTAGGTTTGAAAACCCGGTGGAGGTCAAGAGACAAAGGCAATCCTTGAAATCTGTCAGCATTACTCTCCCTCCCAAAAGCGACACTTTAAAGTAGATGTAACTCTCTAGTGCCCAAATTCAATACCAGTTACATGTATCTGCCATACTGTAGTTGACAAGCATTCTCTTTTAGATTCTGCTTTTATGAGAGTACCAAAGTTTTAAAACTGGAATCACCGGCCCAAATGTTGTAACGTTTTGTTCAGTTGCTACCAAACCAAAAAAAAAAAAAAAACGAAGCAAAGAGTCCTTGAGAAAATCCTTAAAATAACAATTTGTAAAACTTTTAACCCTGTGTCCTCCATCGAAAAATTTGTATCCTAGAAGTATGCCTGATACCATTCTTTTGTTCCACATGGATTCATCCTCTAACTCTGTGGGGTTAGGAGGTTGCTAGACAACAGCTAATGAGCCACTGTTTGTGTCCGCTCCACATCTCATTGCCAATTCAAAAACATGAAATCTTTCAAAAGTGAGGCTGCACGGTTTCAAAATTGGCACAAAATGTTGAACATTCATGGCAACACATACATGCATAGCACCTGTACTCCTTACCATTAACTTTGTGTAGGCATCACTCAAGTGACTAATTAATCTGAATGCTGACAAATCCAACGTGGCACAGAAGACTGGAAAAAGCTTGGTTATCACCACATCAACTCCTCAAATAAATGACAGCACAGCTTGGCCACAGACAAAAAATATCACCTGGTGGACTTTATCCCCCAGAAAAAAGCTGACCCAGTTGAACGTTGACCTTTCCATTATATTATAATCCCTGATAAACGGACATGCAATCCATTTTTTTGTTATCTTTTCTTCATACTAGGGTCATAATTTCTTAGAGTTGAGATTCCTCTCGGTTATGATCAGTGCTGTATGCAATGGAGCTATATGTATTACATATAATATTATTGTTAACAACGTTTATGCAGTGTCCACATCTTTTTCCTTCATCCTCTTCGCTAGGAACTTTTTTAAGTACCCTAAAAATAAACCTGTGAGCAGAAGCCCCAAGCTATATTCCATAAAATGAATTTTTACTCAAGCAGGGTTAAATCCTCCAGTTTCAATATGCCATTTCATACCCACCCCAAGGGGTTTGGGTTCAGAAAATTTATTTCACATTTCCCATCGGGACTAATGATTCGAATGTGCAAAAGATTAAATCTCCAAAAATGCTGACCGATGGACATGATGGAGCACTGTCTCTTGTGACCAGAATTATTCTGATCAGCAAAAACCAACACAGCATGGGGACAGTTTGCATCAAGAGAGCATACTGTGACTCTTGTTTTAAAAGTGTCGCACACTTTCACATGCTGGTGAATAATGGACATTACCAGTGTGAAAAATAATAATAAGCCTAGTTCCTTCTAATTTTCCACAATGAAAGATATGTTTACAAGCCTTCAACTACATGTAGAAAGCAACCTTGGCCAGTAAGTTTTAACTCAGTAAACTCACTTTTGGGGTTTGTTACAGAATTGACATTCCAAGCATTCGCGGGCCTTGTCTAGATACATCTAACATCTCTGACCATATACTACAGGGTGTGAGGACAACCCTATTCATCACTGGTTTATCCAAAGTGTTACAACTGAGTTCGGATGCCCCATTTTCAAGACAATGGTGTTCAGTCATGCATGACAGGAGGGATACCGTCAAGGTATCATTAGAAAGAATACTGCTTCTACTTTTCGGAGATCCTTATACATTGTAATCATATCTCATGGTTTGGGCATATTAGCCTCTTTCCTCAGGGTTTGGTTTTTTCTGGGACACCCAGTATAGTCAGATAGTCACCAGGTCCCTACTTTGGCCACCTATTGTCAAGTCTGACTGGTTTTCGCAGAATGTGGTGACTCGACTATCGTGGTCAGTTGATTTCATCATGCCAAATGAGGTGACACATTTGTGACCTGATAATTAACAACAGCTCACAACATTTTAGCTGGTATACCGGTATATGCAAAATACGGCAAATCATGGACAGTTAAATGCTAGCCTAAGTTACAGAGATACTGCAATGTGGAAACAATCGGTAGGTAAAATTACTAGAAATGCTGCAAAGCAAAGGATATGTAGGCCTATGTACTATGCAAATGAGTTAAATGATGTCAAAGTGATACAGGTAACATAAAGGAACATTAGCTTGTGAGCAATAAGCTTGGCCAAGGGAGAAAAATACATTCGTCTCAGATGCTTTTTTTTTTAAAGTGTCTTTTTCTGTATTTTCTGAATTCAAAGTTTGTGACAATTCTAAAGTTAGGATTGCAGGCGTTAACACCCTGCGCTGAAGTAGGGCTGTGATGCCGACAGTACAAACAAGGAGGTAGGCCTAGGAAACAATACAAAGGCAAATGTGAAAAGAGAGCCATTCACAGCCCTACGACGACTCGACTACACGTTCAGTACTAAAGCAGCTACCCCCAGAACTGTGGGGTCCGATCCGACATCCGCCCCGCTCCCTCATTTTCTGTGGGGTTCATGGGAGCGGCGCGGACGTCTAACCCCACAGTGGGGGGGGGGGGCGGGTTACTACCCCTAGTATAGTAGTAAATGCAGCTAAATTCTGCACGATCATGACGATCAACAGCTGGGCCTAGGCGCAAATCCAACGATCGCACCAACACGTAAACAGGGCCCGACGAATACTCCTACGTCGTATAGTATACTAAAGGGCAGCAATGCACAACACCTGGCAGAGGTCAGGAGTGGGAAATTAACGTGGTAGTTATACTTACAGGAGCATCAAAGATCAAAAGAAGGAATCTGTGCAACTGTTGAACTGCAAGAGGGATCTCCTGATGCGACTGGGGAAAATCGCAGACGAAAACCGAGGGTGACCATTGACCGCCCTCTGTTGACCACTATATTTACTAGCTTCGTAAAACGCATACTTGTAAGTAAGCTACTGTAGACTTACAGTGATAAATATTCCCACTTCAAAAACCAGAAAAAATACTTACACGTTTCTCTGGTGTTCAAGACACATATCAAATTAATGTTCACTTCCGCATCTTTCATTTTGTTAGAATTTTCAGCTTAACTAATGACTTTTGAAGACATTTCTATCAAGAGAAAATCACCCCTCAAAACAGTCGTGAGGCCCATCGCCATTTTGAAAATTTATGCCTATTCTCCATTGGAAAAAAGAGCAATTTGGACTGATGCTTTCAGGAATTCAAGCTGGCAGTCCTGCTACTGGATTCCATCCTATTCTTTACAAGCCACGCAGTCCACATGCGACATAAGGCTCTAATAGCAGAGATTTTGACAGATGAGCCTATAAATCATTCAGATTCAGATTGCACAGGCAATTTTGGACCATCTATGGGGGGTGCGCGAACAAATCAGGAAATCCTAGTTTTGAGGGTGACTCGGCTAAAGAGGTCATCATTCAGGGTTAACAAACCAGTCCTCAGTGGATAGACTGTGGAAAAAGGTCCCACTCTAGGACTAGGAGTAGGACTGTACGTAGAATAAGCGATTACTTGTGGCAGACCATTTTGGTGTGAAATGGAATGAACATTAAGTTTGGTAACTTAACGTTCATTACATTAACTTAACGTTCACTCCATTCCACACCAAAATGGTCTGCCAGGGTATGTAGCCCCTGGTTGACCGGTTGGAAATTTTAGGTAGTTTGCCATCCTGAAAGGCTACTTTTTATGGCCTTGTACAGGAAGGTCAACATGCATACACGTACATCATACATTTTAACACAATGAAATTCCGTCATAATGCCATAACAGACTGTGGTCCCCCCCAAAAAAAACTTGTGTAAAGGAACCACAACATCCGACCTAAACCACAAAGCTTACCCGGCAATAATAAAGCCATATTTTAGTAAGTATTCACAGGAAAGTTTTTAAAAAAAAGAACAGAAGAAACGTGAACATATTTATACGTTTTATTTTATCACAAATTTTAACATTTTATTTACACAAATTCACACAAAATTCCCAGCACAGTGTGCTTACTGTGGACGATGACATTTCTACAACCATAAATAACACAGTCAAAATCTTCATCCAACTCAATAAAAAGAAAACCCATACCTAGAAATGTACATTAATTGTTGAAAATCAATTTAATTTCCATCACAGCCATTCTCTAATATATAAGACATTCTCTAATATAACTGAGCCTGGTTTGGTTTTGTCTTAAAGAAGAAGTAACCAACACTTTAAATGTTGAAGAAAAAGAAAGATTGGTTAAATAACGAGAATTGTCAAAATGAAGACCTTGGATTGAAAACTGTGCCATTCCGCATTCAGCTAATGGGTGAACGAAACATCTGCATGTATAACACACAGAAATAGCCGTCGGTATAAAAGAACTTTTATGAAGATTTTGCACAATTCCTAATGGTCATGTAATGCCCTGAACACCAGAAGAGGTGGATATGTGCGCTTTAAAGACAAAAATGCACTGTTACTATAGAAAAAAACTTCACAAGCCAGGGATTGGAGGGTTTTTATTTTGACCAGATTGAACAATTTTTTTTGTACACATTTTTCAGCTTTCACTTTCTTCTCATTTTGCATATTTATGTTTTAAATCCCTGAAACTCCCTCCTTACTTCCAAGTTTCTTTGAAAACTACGGTTAATTAACAACCTATGATCATTGATACCACTGTCAACACATAAGGAGCTACAGATCAAATTTGTACTCTTACACTGCAATGTAAAAAAAGTCTTTTTGGAAATACCCTTGAAGCACAGAGCAAGTTAAATCTTTTTGATATCACAGGTTTTTCCTCTGCAGTTTAATAAAAACAGACTCCTAAAATAAGTCAGAATTTTAATCACGTACATTTGGGGAGTTGCTTTGAACAGAGAACACATACTAGGAAGTTCAAGTAAGGTCACCAGACATCTAGTCAAAGAATATACCACAATTCAACTTTTGCGTAAGTCATTTCTCTGTGGAGTCTTGCCACACACATGCCACGGGGGAATAGAATCCACACGAGGCTTGGTTTTTGATAAAATTTTTTTTCCTTTATAAAAAAGCATGTGCCACACACTCAATCTCAGTTTCACCATATATCACAAGTAGGGCTTGAAGCTTACAGAAGCAGCATTTCTCAAGTTAGTGGATTAATTCCATTTCAAAGCATATAATGTGAGAACGACCAGTTCTTGTAGAAGAGGGACTACAAGTGATCTCAGTCCTAAGGGGCATAGGATCATTAGCTCCGACATTCCTAGTAGTTTTTTTTTTGGCGAGGAAAAGCCCTCATAATTGAGCAACATGTAACACTACTCAGCAAATCATGCACTTCTTTTACAGAGTAAAGTGGGGATGCCAAGCCGCTGTCAGCCTTTGAAGTAGGAGAGGCCATGTTTGGTGAAGTACTTCACATATATATATGTCATGCAACGTGAGGAGGTTGGAATTTTGGAGTCACAACTACGGAAGGTGTTACCACTGTAAACATTAGATAAATGCACTTTGTTTCATCAACATTATGCACAATGTTGAGTGTTAACAGAATCAAAATGTTCCCATCTCCAATGGTAACACTGTTTGAATGTTTAAAGAAGTTAGACCTTTTATTGAGGTTAAACAGTGTTGAGAGGTGCAGTTCCACTGATGGATTGGGGGGGGGTGGAATTAATCCCTTGGGCTGCCAAGAAGAGAAAAATAACAGACACTTGTTTAGCACCCCTTGACAGCTTCCACCCCCCTTCCGTGAACCAAACCCAGACCCAAACCTAGTTCCCGTGTAGTAAAATGGTCATATACATGCAGTGGAGCACTTATTGAAAACGTATACACGTGCACTGTCTCTTAGACTGCATCCGAATCTCTTGTCTAGGGCATCCGAATCTCTTGTCTAGAGCTAGGTCTAGGTCTTCGCTCCATTGGAAATGCGTGGAGACGCCCAGACAGTAGACCTAGCGGTAGCTCTGGAAGCCCGTTTCGGACACAGCCTAAGATCTGACCAGGAAAGCTACTGTGAATATTGGAGTCTGAATGCAAGCTACACGTAGTACAAGAATGGTTAAGTTCTACATCTCCCTGTATAATTATATCTTCATATAGTTCCAGAGGTACATCTGATAAACAGCATGTTATAGTGTTTATGTTGAGCTGTTATTAAATTTTGTTAATGATGATACACAAACAACATGCTGTAGGCTTTCTCTTACGGCCGAGAAATACACACACCATTCGTTTGATATTGAAATGTTTTGATATCAAATTAGTGACTATCATCAACGGTGAAAATGGACTACCGCTATTAAATTAATTTGAGCATTTACAATGAATGTATATTATGTACAGAGGCTCTTGGAGTGATGGTGTGCTCATTTTACAAGGCCAAGGAACACAAAAAGGCAGTGCCAAATTTGGCAGACTGGATTTTGACACGTGACAACAGCTTACTCTGCAGGAAAAAGGCGACTGTTTTTTGACAAAGCGACAAAGTGGACCGCATAAAAAGTTTCTAGGCTTAAGATCAGATTAATTTTATTTTTAACGGGAACAGGGGGTGCTCTCTGTCTCACACTGATGCAGCGGCCTGCGTCACGAAATCACAGCAAGTAGCTTGAGCAGATGTTGCAGTTAGTGGATTCGGTGTCCACAATGTCACACATGTGCACAATTTGGACCAAAGCTCCCAAGAAATCAAGATAAAAACGTGACAGGGTAATACTTGAATATTTGCTTGTTCTTCGGCAATATTTGCATCTTGTAAAATTATTTGCTGAATGCATTTACTCCAGAACTTAAAAAAGGAACACCGCATTTAAAGATACTTAAGATCGCTTCTCTTATTTACTTTAAAAACTCAGCTCACTGTATTACTTTTTTATTTGAAAGGCATGTTCCTTGAAAACGGATCAAGAGTAAGGTTTTTTCTTAACGTGTAGTAAAAGGAAAGCTAATATCGGAAAGTGATTCACAGGGACACACAAGTTTGCCAGATTTGATTTTAAAATTGACAATTGTCTTATATTGTTTGCATTTGATATTTGACAACTCTTAACACTTCAATAAATAAGTGCTCTGCTCTGCGAACCTCTTCGATGTCACAACCAGCGGTGTGAATGCCGACATGTATGGTGATGTTAAGGACGCTGACACCAACAATGCATTGGCAAGACAGGGGTCGAATGTCCCTGGTACCCTTGCATTTTAATTGGTGTCCATGTCATCCCCGTCCTCCGAGGCATCCCCGCTGGACGACTGCTGACCGTTTGTCATTGCACCATTGCTGAGGTCACCGTCCTCATCGGCTCTGGCCTGAGGGGCAGTGGATGGGATCCCTGACTTGGCTGACCCTTGGGGGTCCTTGCGGATGTAGAAGAGTACATAGGCTCCTTTTGTCTACAAGGTACAAGACCAAAAGCACACGTCAAACCTCTGAACCATATCCTCTATCAGCGTCAAGTGCCAATACCCTCCACATGGAGTGCACAACAAGATGCCAAACGTTGACTGGCACAGACTCCGCATGGAGTTGGAGAATGCAATTGAATGACTGCTGGGTTACTCATGAGCTCCATTTAAAGACCAATACTCTTTGTGTTTGATTTGAGGTCCATGCAATAAGCAGGGCATTATCTTATGACCAAATTTCTTGCAGTCTGGAAAAGCTGAGAGTTGAACAAACACCAAACAGCCCAAAACAATTCCTCCAAAGTGATGATGTAGTACCCCGAGCACCATAGTTGGAAGAGAAAAAAAACCCTTTTTTTCTCTCGGAGGAACTTAGAAATCACTGACATATTATTTGACATGCATGAAGGATCTACTTACCACCACGGAGTCACTGTCTACCCTGGTTACGGAGCTGTCGTCAAAGTTGTACCAGTTTTTCGTTTTGACGTTCTTTGCATATGAAAAATCTGTGCAGAAAATGAAGGAACGGGTTTGGGATGGGCAAAATTCTACAAAGGGACTGGGTTACACTACCACAGTGAGCGAGCTTCAATTTCACCATGATCTGTTCTGGACTATACCCTACCTGACATACTTGCCTACAGCACCCGCCACAACATCTAAAACATTCAATCGAATCTACTACTCCACTATTTGAACTATTTCCAAAAATAAGGAGCATTTCGGGAATTCTCAGAGAGACCAGGCAGGTCACTGTTTCCATGTGGGAAACCTGGGAACACCAGTTGTCCTATGCAAACCTGTGCCTCAGCAAGTTCGTCCCAACCTTGGATAAGCCAGCAAATAGGGATCAAACTCAGAATACACCCATGTTCCCACTGGAAGTGGACCGAATTCCGTCATCACAAGAATGACTCCAGGTTTCTTTATCTCTGTCATTTTAAAAGGGACCTGAGATTCAGCAAATACAAGCCGCAGATGTACTTACAGTGACCACCTCCTAGACCTCCATAGTGATTGGCCACGGCCACCAAGTCATACAAGTAGGGGCCGTCCTTGGGGTTGATTACATACTGTGTCATATCTAATTTCCTGCATTGACAGAATGAAGACAACAAAATGGTCAGTGATTCGGTCGGCCTAGGATTAGGTTAGTAACTTGCTTTTCAAATCGAAAACTTCCTGAAGATCATTTCCATGTTACAATGAAACTGTGACAACAGCAGAGTCTGCGATCAAAAACAGGGAATATGATTGCATGGCAGTCCTAGTTTGACTGAAGTAACAAAACGATTGTCACTTCAAGGGGGATTCCAATTTGGGACCTCTGACCTCCCATATTGGTGCTCCAGCAAAACTGCCATCAAACCCTGAATCTAGGAATCTCTCCAAATTGACTTTGCCTTTTTTATCCACAACACCGGTCAGCTCTTATGAAATTGAGACTGTCTCCATGTTATTTGCTTATGGCTGGCAATAACACATTAGTCTAAAGAGGATTGTAGCCACTATCTTGCAGCTTCCACATTGGACATGTGATTGCCAGCCATAGCCATGTGATTCAGACACATTTACTCACTCTGTGGCTAGGAATCCTTGCACAAGTAATGCCACAAACTTAGAACATAGCAGTCTGCGATCACTCAGTGCCGTTGCACTGAATTTAAAAAAATAACAAGGTAGGATGACAGGTGCATTTTTCTATACGAAATTGGTCCAAAGGTTTACATGAGGAGTCTGTGAGTTTCTAAACAAATCATAGCACACAGGAAAAAATGTTTCTCGTGAGCTTTCAGTGACGGTGGTGAAACTGTTTTGCCAAAGTCGTCGTATGCCTGGCAGAAGGGTGCAAGTGCTTAGGCCCTTTTGCCGGGTAGCATGATCACTGAAAAAGAAAATATTCCTGGCAAAAGGAAGTAAGAGTGCAACTATTTTATTTTAATGAAATGTGAAGATTTCTTTGAAAAAAGTTGAATACAAAAAATTTCCCCAAGTCCTTTAATAAGTTGTTCAAAGGTTGCTTTTTGTACAGCCTGTGTTGATTTTGTGGTAAATTATATCTGTTTTTACTAAATAAAGACAGTGTATTTCTTTTGCCGGGAACATTTTTTCTGCGATGATCATGCTTCCCGGCAAAAGGGCGTATAAAAGCATGATTTTGCCGGGCACCCGACGTAGTGTTCTGCAGTTACTAAACCAGTGAGTGAACTTACTCGAGAGGGAAGTTAACCACGGTGTCTAGCTTGTCTCGCCAGAAGCGAGTGTAGGAGAACCGTTTTAAATGCACGACCAGAACCTTGGGAAGTTTCCACAGGTCAAACTTCTTGGTAGCCTCTTGGTGCTTTTTGCATGCTGGACAATACCTGAAATGGAAATGGAAACCAAAACAAAATTGAGAAATACCTCCAATTTCAAGTCTGCAAAACTTCTGGTTTTTTTCTGCACAGAAAAAAATGCCGAGCAATGCTGCAGTTTGTCGACGGGATGCTGCAAAATCCTGGACACCGCCAACTGAACTGTAGCTAACTACCAACACCTAACTTCCACTTCAAGATGACTTTTTAGAAGTTTTTCAAAGCTTTTTATTTCATTTGTAAAATGATACTTTCTTTTTTCTTGGGAGAGGGGGTCCATACTAGAGTCCAATTTATGCCTCTTGCTTTATGGTACTTGAATCACTTCTTTCAAGGAAGGTGCCAACGTGGATGGCAGCTTTCCCTCTTCGACGGTTCTACTGGAAAAGTCGACCTTGTCACTCACCAGGAATCCTCTTTCTCTAGCGTTTCCTCCGTGATGAACAGATTTATGCAATCGCTCAGGTCGATATGCTGCCTGCGAGACGTGACGTAGTTCATGCTTTCGTGGATGTCATACGCCTGTAACAATCACAAAATTGTTCTGACTGCTATGAATTCTGATTGCCTACTGCCAGCACTAGGCCAATTAGCACTCACCAACTAACACCTAGAAGCTCTACAGTGCTTTTTTTCCTTAATTTTCAGCTGAGGTAAACTTGACTGACAGCAGGGTCTTACCTCAGCCTCTTCATCATTGTAGAGTTTGTCTTTAGCTTTGGGATACCAGTCTAATGCCACATATGATCGACCTGCAAAAGAAGTGATGCTAAAAAATTAATGACAGTTCCAACCCACACATTTAAGAAAAACTGTTCAGATACACTGAAAATATTACAGCAGAAGTGAAAAAAAATGCCAAAAATTTGTCTAACTGGCAAAAGCATGTTTAGCTAAAAAGAAATAAAGTATTTAAAATAAATTAAACAAAAAACTTGCCCTCCATACTCCCTTTCGATTCTTGGAATACCATGTCTTCCATCCTGTCTTTTCTTCTAGTCTCAAGTGATTACTTAATAATTGATCACATAATCAGGTTTTCACCTCCATTTTCCAGAAACGCTCAGCATCTGCCCTTTTCTAAATGCCAAACTTCCCCACCACAGATGAAAGGCTTAGCACCTGTTTTCATAAGGGGAAGGACCTACTTGTGAATTTGACAGGGTTGCCGTCGTCCTTGAGCCTGGACAGCTCGGCGCTGCCATAGGAGTTGACCAGGGTCATGCCAAACAGCCCCAGTGGCCTCTTTTCCTCTCCCTCGTCTTCCTCCAGTTTGAGGTTCTCGTTCTCCTCGATCGTGTTGTTGTCCGGCGTCGAGTCCGAGTCAGAGTCCATCTCCGTCTCTGCGAGGGGAGGAGGGACGGGCACAGGGTGTGCGAGGCGAGACGGGTTTCAAAGTGAACAAATGTAGTGGTGCAATATTTTATTCAAGGATTATCAACGCGAGCTACGATGGCAACTTGAGGAGTGTGATCCTGAAGATAGCTCAGAATGGAAAATTTGAGGTCGATTCTTGACAGAATCCCGAATCCAGGATTTGCAACTGACTCCATCAAAGTTGTAGTCCCAAAGACCTATCCTTCACTGTGCTCTTAAGCTACACAGTGACCCCTTCAGTTCCCACGCGTACCAAATTTCCACATTAGAAAATGACATACTCTTTGAACAAACTGATGGTAACAATCTGTAACTGGAGAATCCTCGGTAATGCCTCACCCAACTTACCCCCGTTCTCAATTAGTTCATTTCCTTCTTTGTCGCTGCGTGTCCAACCACTGTTTTCTGGTATACTGACGTACCTCCTAAAAAAAAATAAAAACAGAACTCTTTGAGTTTCTTAAACTTCTGCTGCTCCTTTGAATGCCCGGAATGCCAAAACTCCCTTCAGAATCCAACAGAATGTAAAAGAAGAACCTGGATCCTGCTAAATCCAACTAAATTCAAGAACCAGAACAAGTCTAAATGCACAAATAAAACGTTCTCCTGTGTGCCAACAGACAAACTTGTGGGCACGTTTTTCTGTGAGTGGCTCGGCCAAATAGTATTAAGAGTTACTTACGACATCTTGTTGAGCATGATTCGATAGAGCTCTGGATATTTTATCGTCTTCCTTGGGACTGGCACCAACATGGGCTGTCCAAACAGGTTGTAACTGTTTTGACTGCAGGTGTATGATGAGTTCTTCAAGCTACGATAAAAATCAGAATTCACACAATTAACATTTAACAATTAACACCAGGTATTGCAAACCCCTTCTGGCCAAACGTTAGAATCTCAGTAGAAACTACAAACTTTAAATGCAGAAAGCCATTTTTCTATTAAACAGAATCTTCTTGAGGTAGCAATTAGAAATAAACTTACAAACTCCGCAAGTAATGTACTGAGTGGTGGCATCACAAGGGATAGCGAAAACGTCACATATGTACAATAGGCAGCAAGAATGGGGCACAGTAGATAATTTCAACAGAATGTGCATAAATCCATGCCTTCTTCACAAGATGGGAATGCGCTCAAGCAGGCCAGAAAGCGCAGGCAAGTGTCCGTCTTTTGCAACACTTTGGGATTATTGTGAGTCCACAGGTTACTACTACAGTCCTTGGTCAACAGTACTGACTCTACTTGGTTGCGGATGGCCATCAAATTGACTCAACAATATTCGCCCTCGGCCTACAATTTTAAAACAACAATAAAAGTACTCTGACCTCTTCTCTCGGAGGTAGACAGGGAGAATGATAACCTCAGGCTCATCTGTTACACTGACAGGTACTTCATAACTGGGAATAAAAAACAACAACCGGGGTTAAACTTAAGCCAACTGATCTGGATAACATCATGGCAAGCACTGTAATCATCTGACAAAATGTACTTCATATATGTCACAATCTCTGCTTGTTCGGATTACAAAAACCTCCTTTAAATGTCTGATTTCAGAAGGCTGAACTTTCTCAGCTGTGTTTGAGAGATATTCTGGCAACATCAGGGTCATGAACCTCTTAAATTTTCCTAATCACCAAAGGTCATTAATTTTGGAAATCTGAAAAAAAAAAATCATTTCTGCAAATTGGTTTAACATGGATAAGGTCAATCAGAGTAGAAGACCGACTTGCATGCAGGCCATCACTGAAAAAAACTGGACAGGTTTTGAAAGCTGGGGGAAGTGGAAAAAAACCAGCTTTATAAACTCCCAAATATCAACCCACTGAAATCACTGGCACATACTTACACATAAATATCATCTTTATCTGTAATACTTTTGATTCGCTCGTTGGATCCAAATACTAAATGGAAACGGTGGTTGTAGACATCAGTGACTACCATCTACAACAGAGAAAAATTTGAACAAATGCTTGTAATATTTCATAATATTGCCTCACTGCAACTTATCTAAGAGCGAAAGGCAAAACCAGTGGTTAGGGATTGATGACCAATGAAGTCTGAGCAGGAACTGATGATAGCACTGGTGTTGTAAGAATGAACAAAAAAACAAACCCTTGGGTATAAGAGCAGTGTGGTTGTCCACTGCATTCCCTCGAGTGAGAGTATAAAAAAGTACCCAAGTTCAAGCGCGAGCACTACAACGACGCTGTATGCCCTGTTTAGGATACCCAAAGGCTGATACGCCGAGTGCACATTTCTTAGTGCATACCAATGGAACGGATTCGCATGACAAATTTTCAACTGAATGAACACAAAATCTTTCGGCATTGGTGTAAGAAGAAACAGAGCTGAAGTATTGATTAATCCTATCGATGCGCAAGCATCTCCTAATCAACACAAAAGACAGGGCTGGTTGGTGACCAATACAAGGGGTACCAGTCAAAAAATACTGTTGAAGAATTCAGCGTCTTTTTGTGTTACCTTGTCTGGTGAGATTTTGGTGATCTTTGACACAGCCCTGCAGATGTCGCTTACGACGCCCAACTTGGGGACGACAACTTTCATCTATGTATCCAAAACACACAGACTTAGGAATGAGCAGTTAAAGACTGAAGCTTTTGGGTATAAAAGACAAACGCAGAATGAGAGAAACAAAGACACCAGATACGACTGAGCAGTTGAGGTGTGAAGTTTTCAGATAGCAGGAATGGAGCAGGTGTTCGATGGAAAAAAAAATCCCTGAAGAGGTTAATTTACACAAGAAAAACATTTGGGAATTATGCTTTTTTTATGGCTGTACGCTATCCTTTTGTGTGAGTCATGTGACTTGTTTGCAGGCAGAACTACAAAGACGAGGAACCTGAATCCTGCTTGGGAATGATTGGTAGACATATTATTTGTGTTGGTGAAGTCAGAGTCGCGCTGTTCACGTTTCAACCTCGTCTCTCGAGCAACAGGATCGCTTGATGTGGCAGTGTACCAATCTCTCGAACAATGAGCCAAACGATCGGGGTTAACGTTCCTCTGTGTGATATCATTTTACCGTTACTGCTGTTTTATCCCACCTGTAGAGGCCTGCACTTGGGATCCATCCGAATCAGGACAATCTCCATCGACCTCTCCTTCTTGATTGGCAAGGGCAGGCTGAGAAAGCAGAAAGGGTCAAAGGTCACTGACACCTTGCTGCACTCTGGGCAGACCAGGGTAGACTTGAACTGGCCGTGGAAGAGGTCGGTGATGATAGAGTCGTTCCGTCGCAAGTGGTTGTCCCACGACTCCTTGGCAACAATCTAGGAAGACAATCATACGATTCCGGGGTCTATATCTCTGTTTCAAAGATGAATTATCCCCACTAAATAATTCTGTGAATGTGACAGGGTCTACACAAAATGTTCAGCATAGTAGTCATTTGGTATAGCGAACTCCGGCACATTGGAATGTGTGGCAGCCTGCCCCCAAAATGTTTCAGTATATAACAAAGAACATATGTATAACCTTTACAGGCTTACAGTTTCTGTCTTCCAGTATTTTAAGTTATCTTGAGAAAACATTCTTCCCTTGAAAATATTTGAGATATCTTCTGGGCCAATATACCATTGCTACTGCCCTGAAAGGCTACAAACCCTCATCACGTCTGTCAGTAGTCTGTTTCATCTCAATGTGACACTATTCCCCTTAGAGCAGGTCAATATACCTTCTCAGTCAATATACTGCTGCCATTGCCCTGACATACTACTGACCTCGTCTGGCCTGCCATTGCTCTCCTTCATCTCAATATAAGGCTTCTTTTGGATTCTATTCAAGTCTTCGTGGAGACCGTCTAGTAAGAACGCCAGCAGCTCCTGGGAATCCTGCTGTTGGAACCCGCTGAACTGAGGTGCAAAACGGCCGACTTGCATCTACGGCAAAAAGTCAGCATCAACAGTGTCAAGGACGTACCGGTGCACTGAACAAACTGCTCCATTGCAAGAACAAATCAAATCTGAACAAGTGTTTCAACCTAACCCCAATGATTTGAGTTGGCCAGAACATCGGTGTATTTAAACCTAATCCCAACAGTATCTTGGCTAGCAACCCTGCTCAACACAACTACATGTATATGAAACAGTTATCAGAGTGAGAAGCATGCTCAGTGTAAAGAGATCCACAGCCAAACAGCCTCAGAGTTTCAGTATGCAAGCCACTGCAGGATAGACTATATTTATGTGTCAGTCATCTTGAATTGAAAGTGAGGCAAAAGTTTCAGTTTGGGAACCTGGAACTAAAAACAATAGCAACAAAATAAAAGTTCATTACAGATTCATACCAGTTTACAAGTTTAGAATAACTTAATATTTGTGAAAAATTACGCTTGAACATTTTCAGTCACATTTAAAAACAAAATGAAAGTGAGGCTTGGAACCCAAATACTATGGCATCCCCCCCATATAACAGATTTCATTGAACATGACAGATTCAGGGCACAGGATCCAAAATGACTTTCTTGTTAACTAGATCTCTTCAGCAATGCCAATGTTCATTTAAACTCGCTCACATTGTAATACAAAACTGCTGCAAACTGCTTGCTGACTACAGTGACCTAAAATACAAATCTCAAAATATGCAGGGCCTGACTTTTCAATTTTGCCTTTGAGAAAGATTCTGCTAGGATCGAAACGTCAGGCCCTCCATATTTTGGGATTTGCTCACATTGTCTCCGCTTCAATGATAACGATGCCAAACTGTATTCAAGAGGGTTACATGCTGCAGATCTACAATAGAACTCGCCTCTTACCTTGAAGTTTCTAGGCACCGTGTAGGAGTACGACCCCGACCACATCTGCTTGATCAGCTCAGCATAGGATTTGGCTATTTCTCCGTGCATACCCAAGGGATTGTTAGAGTTCAGCTCTTTTTTGTAGGCCTCAGCTGTAACAAACAACAGGCACGAGGGTAAGGCTAAAGCACTCTTCACGAGAGTGCAAACATTTCTTAAACTCACAGGCAAATTATGCAAGAGCATTCCTTGCAATATAGTCGTTCTTGAGACCTTCCTAGATCCTGCTAAAACCTTCCACTGTGTGGAAACCTAACGGTACAATCTCTGTACCTCCGTTCGAAAAGGCATTGAGCCCCGTGTTACTAACAGGTTACCTCTTCCTCAATCCTACCAAATCTACCACAACCATCTGACAGATTTGGAAGAAACTGGCAGCTTCGTGCTCAAGGTCTATAGAATATTGGGGGATAAAATGGTGCTTGATTCTCACGCAGTCAAGTTCTGTAAATGGACACTGTACTTACTGAGGAAATACTCTGTGAGCGGTGGGACGTTGCTCATGCACTGCAGTGCTGAGTTCATGAAGCAGGTGTTGCCCAGGTTGCTCAGCCCACACAGGCCGGGCTGCAAGCTGGACCGGCTGCTGCTGCTGTTGTAGTCGTAGTTGGAGCTGCTGTAACCCGAGTAGGAGCCACTGGTGTAGGAACTGTAGGTGGATGGGGTACTGTTGAGAGCGATGAGCGGAGAGAGTATTCCTAATTAGCATTCAGATCATGCACTGACCGCTGCTGGGAGAAGTCTGCTTGGAACAAATGTGGCCAGATCCCGCATACTGAGTCTTAAGTTTGTCTCAGTTAACATCAGGAAGAGCACACTGAGCTCTTTCATTCGTAACTCAGTTTGGCATCCTGACGAAACTTTTCGTCATGTGGGTGAAAAATGTTGAAGGTTCCTACAGATTTCCACGGTGGAAGAATCTCTAGTGACTTTGGACTTGTTCTGTTATTAAGTTGGGTCACAAATGTTAAAACCCTGTCTGCCCAGAAGAGTTAAGACTGATGCTTCCAACCCTCAAAAAGTAATCCACTGATCAGAATGTTTGACTTTCAAGCGCCTTTAATGCCTTCTAGATGAACAAGTAAAAGGTGACAGCTGTGAAGTTCAAACGTCTAATTTCCTAAGCATCCATTGAGCTCACTTTGTCACTCTAAAGACTGTCTACTCGGACAACTGACCCTGCTTGGATTAGAAACAGGCAAAAGGGTTTGAAGTACGGTGACTCACCACACGGTGATTTATTTTTGACCCTGGCATGCAATATCTTCTCAAGATAGCAACCCTGCCAAAACCAAGAGGCTAATAATGCAGAAAGCTGCTACAGGCTGATTTTCAATCTTTCCTCACAACAATTTGTATTTAATAAGTTCCGAAGAAAAAAAGCAACAGGTTTACAACAAACAGTCTGTACTCATCGTACATAATGCAAACAATGGAGCCAAAGTTAAGGCTCGATAGCTGGCACTATCAAATGTCAAATTCCAACCTAATTTCAAAGGGTGTCACTTACTGAAGTTGGCTTCAGTGACAGAGTTCACAAATCATTACCAGGACCGTGAGGTGCATCTTACCTTCTAGGGGAGGCTGCACTGGAGATAAACTTGGAGTCTTTGGTGCTACTGTAGCTAGAGGTGGTGGGTGTTTGCCGAGGCCAATTTCCATCCTCATTCTTTTGCTCAATCACAAGAACCTGGCAATGAGGCATCCAGATACAGTACACTTCAGTGACTCGACCCAAATTTCTCTGAGTGGGTACACTGCTAGAAAGCGCTCCATAATTCTCCAGAATCCAACATTGCCTTGTAAAGCAAACGCAGACTCCTTGCTTGAACACCAGACATCGACCCCCTACATAAGCAAAGTAATGCTTTTTTGGCCCTGTAGTACTGGACCCTTCCAACCCCCTCCCCCAAAGTATTTGTTAGATTTTAGAGGAATTTGACGGGTCAACAAGGGTTAAACCGTTTATTTGATCCTTTACGCATATTCAAGTTGATGTAGGTTACCACACAATTGATTTGTGAAGGAGCAATTTCTGAAAACAGCAAGCGCAATGGGTCCAAAAGGCCACACACAGGCGCTAGGATAAAGACATCATTCAACTGACCGGCAACTTCAACTTAGCACAGAAAGCAGTCACAAACAACAGAAAATCATCTTTGGTAAATCTTGTTAGTTTGGAAGTACTGGTTGATTTGTTCCATATCAACTCTTTTGAGAACGCTACCCAATGCCATCAGATGACATAAGCCACCAGGTTCAGATAGAGCACCTGCTCCCCTCCATCCTCCCACCAACCTGTCCTTGATACAGCCCCGCATCCTGCACCGTGTTCTCCTTCTTGCTGAGATGCTCGTAGGTGTTGCTCATGTACTTATTCCATATTCTTGTCTCCCTCTTGTCGCTAATGTCAAATAGCTTCCTCATTGCTTTTTCTATGGTTTCTGATGGTACCGATCACAAAAGAAAGATACAACTTTTACCATAACATGATACATCCATTATGAAGGTCTACAGGAATTGTTTTTATCCTGGTAGCCCACCCCCCATGGTTCAAACTGAATAACTGGGTCCCAACCCTGACCTTTTAAAAAAAAAACAAAACTGTACATGTACATGCGTGTGTTGAAGTTCCACTTGATCAGGATGTGGCAATTATACAGCTCACTTTGGTTCACAAGAATTATTCATACCATTGCCCTGCTGTCTGCAAAGGTACAGATGACTGAGAGGGAATAAGCCATTTGTGAGTTACATTTGAATGAAATATGGTATGAGTTTATATCTGATTGCACATAAACATAACAATTAGAATTCCCCAGACGAAAGACACTGTTGCTATACCTCGAGATTTGGGACAAGCTTTTGCATAGCGACCACCATCTCTGGAATGGACTGGTTCTTTGGGCCCTTCTTATTCATTGGAAACAGTGTCTTGGTGCAAGGCCTCTCTTATGTAACTAAGCAAAAATTTGCCCCAAATCACGACGTATAGCAAGTGTCTAGGAGAATTCAAACTAGTCTGTTATGTTCACATGAATTTAAAGAACTCAGCAAACCAGACTTTATTATTCAGCATGAATGGGATACTTCAACAAGAGTGGTCCATTTACGGCCCTATCCCTCTAGTAAATGTTTTGCCAGACCTACATACGGTGTACATGGGGATGTACAGGTGAAGCCAACGACATAAAATAAGTACATTCAGGTCTGCATGTACAACCATACATTCAGATATATATCCAGGCTGTCTGCCGTGCCATATGTGTGCAATCAGGGATGAGCACATGCCAGCCATACCATACGGGTCATCCAATGACACTGAAGAATGACTGTCCCTTAACTAAGGATTTATTTATAGACACACGTATATTTGTATGACACTGGAAACTGTTCAAAAGAATGAGATCCTTGTTCTTCAGCTGCGGAGAATTTCCTGACCGATGTACATTTGGGTTCATATTACATACCATGTCAGCTGTACCTGCTGTTAATTTGTAATCATTACAAGTGAATTTGGCAGGTGCAAGTACGTCTTCAACTCCACACACATGTATATAATGCCGGACGCAAAATCAACACTATGGCAGGAAGTTTCCAGCATTCAAACTTTATACCACAACGTGTTTCAGGAAATATCGGGCTGACAGTTGAATGTACGCATTCGCAGATCTTTCCATGTCAATGCATTCCGAGAAAGTATACAGAGTTTATTTCTCTTCTACACGTATTTTGCCTTCCCCACTTTACAAGAAATCATTTTTTCTTTAGTAATAACGAGACACTTCCCTAAACTGTGTTATAACACTCATTCTTGTGGTATTTATACATTTATCATGTTGGTATTTGCAATATAAAAATATCGGCAAATCGGAATTTTTCACAAAATTTTTTGAAAGAAAAGCATTTTGCTTTAGTTCCCTCTGCCGGATCTCTAAACCAGGTGCACATATGGGAATTCTGGAAAAACAAAACAAAAAAATGAGGAAATTCCCACCCGCACAAGATTTTGTAAAGTGTATTTCAGAAAACAGAACAGAAAATGAAACAAATGAAATGAAAAAAGTTAACCAGAAATGTAAAGTGACATACAACACTATGATAATACGACAAAAGAATCTCTCAATGCATCCAAGGATGTGAGAATACATGTAACCCACTGATTTCCTGAATAAAGTTTTACAATTACTCAACAATTTCCAACGCGCTGCACTCATCTGGTTATGGTTTTAATCACACTGTCTTATTGCTAATGTGATAAAACCAGAACACTGGTTCATCGTACTGTCCCACAAATTGCTTCTCTCCACGTGTGAACAAGGTAAATTGGTACTCTCAGAGAAACAAACTGGTCAGATGGGTACCAGTGAAGCTACAAACTTGGTAAATGGAAAACCTTGAAGCCACAAACTGGGTATCACGGTACCAATTGGAGCCACACACTGGGTAAAAGGGTACCCTTGAAGCCAAACACTGGGAAAAGGGTACCCTTGAAGGCATTAACTAGGTAAATAGGTACAATTGAGAGCATTTTTCAACTGGCAATCAACATCCTCCTTAGGACCAATTGCATGGAGGTGCTAATATTCAGTAATCCTTCATTTGTACCAATCACAATTAAACATGTTTTTATTTTCCCCTAACCAGTGTTTACACTTTATACACTGCCCAGTCACCAAGCCACATCACACCTCTTACGAGTTCTTTATCCTGATTGGCTGAAATAGGCTCGTGAGGTTCACTAATATAGACTAGTGCATAAAACTAATGTACACCAAGACACCCAACGAGCATTGATTATAGAGTATGTTAGGCACTATACTCAACATTTTTGACTGGTTACATTACCCTCACATGATGAGAACAGGGAAACCAAAATGCTCCTTTAATTGCTGAAATTGCTGGTTGAGTTGCTCATGAGCATGAGTTAATGGTTGAATGGACGCCACCTTCAAGGCAAATTTACAACTGTATATTTTACGCCATTGGGCACGTATAAGTGCAGTGTGCAAAATGTTCTTTACACACACACTGGGTGTCATAAAAATTTGGTTATAACCATTTAACTTATGTTTTCTTACCTAACCCTACCCAACATCCTTCTCATGTGGCCTTGCACTCACCTACCGTAACCTGTGGTTTCTAACCCCACCTTAACCCCACCCTTGTCATGTCCCTTTGCACTCACCTATTGTATCAGCCTTGCTGAACTGCTGCGACACATATTTCTCCGGGTTGCCATGCTCAGACAGTTTGAGTTCCATCAGGTAGACCTCTACCTTGCAGTGCTTAACAAACATTCCGTACTCCACCACCTTGCGCATGATGGACTCCTGGTTTGGCTTGAGACCGTACCACGACGCCAACTTTTCCCACGCATCAGTGGGCAGCAGGACATAGTCTAAGTCATCTATCAGATTTTCTTTCAGCTTGTCTGTGGAATCAGCTGTTGGTGAAAATCATGCCAGGATTATGTCTAACATATCTCAATATTGACACCGATATCTTAGGGAAAAAATCCGGTTTTCAAACCGTGCATCTGATTTTGGACGGCTACGCCGTCTTTTCATGAGACCTTATTCTTTTTCAGACACACTAAGAGATCTCCATTCACAGTGCTCTGTAGTTCACTAGAATCAACAAAGTCCAACCTGCCTAATTAAACACAATCCAACAGAGAAAATCTGATGTTGGTGATCAACCAAAAACAACTAAATTTGTCCACACCAAGATAAAATTGGGTTTAGTATTATCATGGCATTTGTTGGGCCACATTCTTGTACATCATCAGCCCATTTTGTGTCGTCTCCCGTTACTACTTGAGAGCCATCGGACTTACATCTCTCCCTCTATAGGATTTGCTCTTTGGACGTCATAGTCATGTTCTTCCTACAAGTGGCTGCTAAACTATGGTTGGCAGTAAGTACAAAAGTAAAACAATAATTCCTACACAGCTATCAGAATACCAGATAATAACACACCACTAAATACTAACAGAAAATACAATCGTATTATACTTGATGCGACTAATGTCCATTTTGAACGAAATGGGACAAAATCGAAAAACCAACTCAAAGGTGATATTTCTGCAAACTTTGGCTGTGCATACAAGTTGTAGGCAAAATGAGAGTGGTCCATACACTACATATTCTCATCTACCTAAGTTTCTCCCTGTTTTTCACCCGAGTCCTTGAACTTGGTCTTATCTTGTCCCTTTGGTTTAACTTGTACGTCTAACATCAACTGTTCACCACGAGTTGGTTTTCTTCTATTGTATATGTTTGTGATTTTTTTTCTGGTGCCCTCACGGGACAGCCCACGCAGGCTGAATAGGAGCATCTCAAATAATTTGGGTTAAACCAACAAGAGGGTAAGCTTACCAGCAAAGAGTCCAGAGTTGTCGACAGGGCCTGGATTGCTGGTCTCATTACCCTGATTGTACATGTCCCAGCTGTCATAACCAACATACTTCTTCCACTGCTTAAACCATTTGCTATCCAGAAGGTACCTGCAAAAATAAAGCCAAAACTTGTACAGTCTGTCCTCAATGACTGGATGGTAGTCCATTATTCATGTAATGGTCAATGTTTGTACATGTACACTTTTTTGTTGTTTTCGTTAGAGCATCAGGTTACCAGCGTGCCTGCCATTTGTACGGCTTTGGTGTTCCGGGCTTGCTGCACAAGTGATACAATGTGATACAATGTGAACACTCTGTGCCATTCATTTTCCACAGAGATGAATGCAGATGAGATGAATTTCACAGCAGAGAATGCTCACACTGCATCACGAAAAAGTCACTGTGCTGCGAGCCCGCAAAGAAAAGTACTGTCCAAAGGATGCACATGCTGGTACCTCAATGCTGCTGGCAACACCTATTTGAGTCATTATGGGATTGGAATGGTCAGAGCCCCGTAGTTCAGTACTTGGTCTGGGATCCATCGTCTATTTTTGTACAGTTTAACAGGTGCAGCAAATTGAATGGCTGCTCCTCACACATGTTGCCAAGAAAATGTCACTTTTGGGGGCTGGGGGAGGGGGTCAGCTCAATCAAAATTGCATCTTGATTGGATCCTTTGCTTCGTAGTAGAATCATTGCTCGTTTATAATTTCAAGCAAGCACTGCTGTTTCAACAATTACCTTCTTTCATTTGGGAGTTCCATGTGATCTGTTATTTCAGTTTGTGAAAAGTATGGAAATAAATGTTAATTTTGAACTGAACTGCATGAATGTTTACTCCATTGAACTGGAGAATATTAACTTGATACCTTGACCAAAATGGAATATATCAGCCCTAAAGTCTTAACTACTAGGAGAATACTACAGTTCCTTCTACCATTACTGTCATATCTCCCCATATCATGAGCCTAGTACTGGATATTTTCAGCTAGTGTTGGCCTAAGTATGCACTCTAAACCTACATGTATATGATGTGGTTTAATAGCCAGTTTCATCCTGGAGTTTGGGCTTTGATTATAGTGGAAAACAACTGGGACTGGTTGGTATCATGACTAAGAAATTGATGTATCTAGTGTCAGTCTGTCCGGTTTAGACTTGGTAGTAGGGCCAATTGCCAACTGTCATGAATGATGGTATGGGCCTAAGGCATGTATGATTTGAGGTACAAATGAATGCTGGTCATCTGGTATGGGCGCCAACTCGTACATGGCAACTCATATGCCGACCACCTGTACACCGACCACCTGGTACACCGACCGTCTGGTACACCGAGCACCTGGTATCCCGACCAGCTCCTACATCCACCAACTCAATACAATTTATGCCGTTGGGCTGCCTTTACCCTCTACACATCTATGTTGGATTTTCCCTCCCACTGGACTCCCACCTAGTCTGGTAGAATGAGTTCTGTTATATAAATGTTTTTTGATGATTAAATTTTAACTTAGCAATAACAGGCCACAATAGTAAAACAAGTGGCTCTGTCTTGTAGGCCTGTTTGCATTTCTTGATTACACTGTATTTGTGACTTTCAATGTTAAATCGTGACCCTATTCTTTGTATATGGATTAGTTTTTACAATTTGTAGTTCTGAAACAAGCAGTTTTTGAGGCGTCAGGTAATCCAGTCACCCACAAACATGATAAAGCACCGTTTTCTGGTCATTCAACTTCAGAGTTCAGACAAAAAACCAACGACATGTCAAGTTTCAGTGCATGAGTTGTTGGTCAGTGTGCGAGTTAGTCAGTGCAAAAGTAGACTAAAACACTTGCCAATTGGTCGGAGTAAGAGTTGACCAAAACACATGCAAGTTGGTTGGTACGAGTTGGCATGCACATGCATGGGATGACCTGTTCTTGTACTAGGCCGTACAAACATGACCATGATGACAAACACCCACGCACTACAGTCGATTCTAATTTCTAAGTGTGGGCCTACTCTTAGAAAAGAAAATCTGATTACGACCAAGAATGTTCCATTCAGTTCAAGATAATCTTTTCAGTCAATGGCTTTGCAAGACCTAATTTTGAGAACTTTTAGGATCGGGATGACAAACTTTTGGCCTGTTTAATATGTAAACATTTGTCTGTCATGTCTGTGTAACATCATGTAGTGATGGCTAACCATGCTAACGTTTTTTCAACCGGTGTTTCATTGTAAAACATTCTTTTGTAGCTCAAAAAAACATTTTCACGACCATTTCGTTACTGCAACTTCCCTTCATCCTTACCATGTGTCTCCTTTTTTCAGTGGAGTCTTAAGCAGTTCACAAATTTGCGTCTTCTGTTCTTGAAGTTCGGGAGGTCCACCGCCTTCCGCCATTTTGGACAAAATGATTCTCCTCGATTGCTTCCTACTCACTGATTGGTTCCCGGCGCATCATGAACGGTTCGTACACAAATTCGCTGGGTACAGCCTACTGACGTTATCACGGAAATGTGATGTAGAAATGCCGAGAATTTATATGACGTCATATTTCCCCACCGGCTGCCGGCTAGCGGTAATAATACCGCAGAACGCACGTGGCCTTGACACAGGGTAGATGGAAACTTCTCGCGACAAAAAGAAAATTCCATGTATTCGGTACTTCAAAAACAGGAGAAACTGGTGTGCAAAGAAAAGGACGAACTAGAGGCTTTGACTGCATAAATCATTAATGTGGATTGTGTAACGGGGAAAAATGGCACACGTCAAATAAGAATAAAATATAAAGAAGAGACTTGAAGAAAATAAAACACTTGGGGAACTCGCAAAAAACTTTCAAAAGTATCAAAAAGGGAGGAGTCGCAAGAAGTCTAAAAGAATATGGATACGGAAACTGAAACTTGATTCCAACAACAAAATCTTTTATTTCTTCTAAAAATATCCCCCCAAAAAGGAAAGTAACTGGAGAACTAAAAAAGGGACTGGGTCAAAAATCAGCCTGAGATTTAAAAATATTCACCTGAAGACTCAGATAAGATAGATAAGCCGTAAAAGGTTACTCGAATAATTCCAAAATTTTTCCTTCAAACAAGTTTGCCCATCCCCCGAAAACTTGGCTCTCGATCCACCCTTCATCTCGGTACTGTTCGGGCGTGCGCAGCCTGAGAGGTTTCAAGCTTTTCATTTAGCCAATAAGTTGGCGTAAAGCTAGTAACGAAAGAGTATGCCCAAGTTTCCTTAAATGCTAGCTAATGCTGAGTTCGGAGCGAACTGTGCCACTGAAGGTTTGATTACTGTCAAGATTCACCGATGGATGCTCTTTTCAAGGCTTCCGGCGGAATGTGACGTCCTTAAGGTCCCTATCGTCCTTAACTTGAGGGCCTTATCATCGCCAGGTCCCTTATTTCGCCACTTGCTGTGAAAACCGATCAGACTTGACAATAGATGCCAAAATTAGGGACCCAGCGACTTTACCGTGGCGCACCATGCAGTCCAAAGTTACTAGTCGTTATTTCAGTTTATGTATCTCAAAAAACAGTGCACTGTTTGCAAAGTTTTTAGTAGCCCCTCCATCGCAAATAAGAGGTTTGCCAACTTGTCCCTTTTATTGCCGCATTTATAGTGCCTACCTTGCGCTCAGCTGTGACAAGACGCCATAATGATAACTACGGTGTGATACCCGCACTCGTGTTATAGGTTCTAATTCTAATTGAGGAATTACTCTACCATTGTGCACTCGAGCTTAAAGCTGATACGGAAGCAAATGATTATCTTTCGTCCTGTAATATTCATGTTTTGAGTGTTGCGAGCTTTGATGCATCGAGTCACGAGAGTTTGAACTGGAGTTGCCGCAGAAAAGGCCCAATCACGACCAAAAACACACGACGTCGACCCAAAGTTCGACCAGGGTTTCTCCGAGTGTCTATGGTAGTGACCGCGGCCAGTTCCCATAGAGTTGTAATTTCCGGCCGTAGCCAGGTGATTCGGACATGGCTTCAGCTTTGAATCTTGGACGGCCAAAGCTTAGGTTTCTGATAAAAAAATTAAAAACTCTTGAGGGAATAGAAATATTCAAACTAATCCCTACAATCATTCCCTCATATAAAAGTAACAAAAAACACAGACATGAATACAACACAAGGAAACTTAAAGTTCATTGTGACAAGTCCTGAATAAAATAAATCCCCTTTATTCCTTGCCCGAACCAGCACTCACTCAAAAGATAAAAATCAACAGCGTTAGGGTTAAAGTTCCATTAAACGGACATCACTGATTTTTCCCCTACAGTAATAAATCTGCCATCTGGAAGCAATAACATGTCCCAAAATGTAAAATTCAGGAAAATATTAAAGTGTTTACTTAGAAAATACACTTTTTAAGGCCAGTCTCACAGGGTTTGTGCACAGGGTGTCGAGTGATGTCCATGTATGGAACTCTTTACCAAGTCCTCCGCCCATAATTTACGGCCATATCGTGGACATTAATATAATTTCTCTGCCTGATGATTGCCAGTTAATACTTTTAAATACGACACTTCGGCAAGACAGTTTGGTTGTGTTTATTTCTCTGTCCAGATTTTTAAAAAACAGACTTGGGACTATACAGATAAGAATACTTGAAATTCAAAAGTAAAGATTTCGAAGATGGCATTGAAACATACATACCTCTCAAACATGCATTGCAAAATGTAGATGTACTTATATATCAAACAACCACTAAACAAAACTGACTACAAAAATAGACCATTTTTACATTCTGTATTTTTTACAAATACAGAATTGAGAACTGTAGTTTCATTGGCCCAATTAATTAAATGGAAAACACATGAGTGAGGCTTCCCTTAGCAGAGGCAAAGCAAATCCAAGTTTCAGCTGGGTAAGAAAACTGTACTTTTGAGTGAAATAGTTCATTTTTAGAACTGGTGGACAAAATATTGAATAGTGGTGGTCAGTAATCCGGGATATTCTTTCCAGGGGGAGACTAAATTTTCATTTTCCAAACCCCAGGGCTATTTTATAACCACGCAGCCTTTGCTAAACTACACAAACTTAAAGTACACACAAAAGTTAGAAGTAAGAAAATTGCACACTTAACACCTTACCTTTCAAAGATGTGAGAAACACAGATCGCAGTCTTTAAAAAGTGACAATACAAAGCTAAACTAAAATAATCTGAAACACTGAGGTAAGATTCACAAAAGTACATAGCTGCAAAAAGCAAATTTACTTTAAACTTTGTTAAACACTCAGGTTAGCCTGACCAAAAAATATCTACATTAGCTATCCAATTTTTTCCTCATTACCAGAATTATGAGTGACAGGCAAACGGTATGTGCACTGTAAACAACTTCACCCTCAGCAAAAGTTAATAAGGCTGCTGCTGGAAAACAACACTTATGGATCACAAGAAAAGGCAAAAAGCTCTTTTTCAGTGGCTGAAACACTAACCAAAATGGACCATCATCAGATTTTTTTTCCTTCACTAATTCCTAAGTGTGTGCGTGTGGGAGGGACAGGCTATCCCCTAAACTGTGGGGTTCGTTGCCTGCCGCGCTCCCATGAACAAGGCAGACGACAAAGGCCCACGGTTCCGAGGGTATCAGCCAGTCACAGGCAGTTACTGCAGACACTGTTTAATTAATGTGTCATTTCCCTGGAGTGCATTGTTTAATGAGTGATGCTGTAGCCGTTTTGGTACCATTTTTGGTACCCATCTTGCAGGGCAGTTCTTTTGTTCCACAGGGAAGCCTCCTTTGTGTGTAACCTGTGGAATGGAAACACTGGCCTCCAAGATGGCAGCCTTGCAAACACTCTATAGCACATGTGGATCAGTGAGTCATTCAAGTGGTATCAACCTCCAGACCTGTTCCCATCCCTCAGTTTAAGTTCAAGTCTAACATACAATGGAAGGAGGTTTTTCACTTCTTACTTTCACTGTTTGGCTATGCCCCAAATCCCAGCTCCCCTGATAGGCACAAACCCTCAAATGCAAACGAACAGTGTTCATAAGCCAACGAGATGTCAGCGACCATCACTCCCAAAACAGCACCCTCGTAGGTCTATGCACAAAGCCAATCATCTCAAGGGAATTGCTAATACATTGCTAAGTTGTACTGTTTCTTATGCATGAACTGGAAAGTTTACGTAATCACCATCATCGTTCGAGAAAAATCTGGAAACCAAGACCTATTTCTGCTTCTGTGTAGAGCAAAATCAAACAACTGAATATCAATCGTCAAACACGTTCATTTTTTCTGTACAAACTATTTCTGAATAGATCCTGAAAGTCAACCCCTGATGGCGTGCTTCTGGAACCCTTTGATAGGAAAAAATAATGTGCAAAGGTTTTCGAATTCGTTATATTGTTTCGTTCAGTTACTTCTTAAAACATCCAACTTGGAATAAGGGCTTTGGAAAATATTTGCTATTAAATCAATTTGTAGACACTGAAAAATTACCTGACCTAAACGAGAAATATCCTGCCAAAAACTGACCCATCACTTCCCAAAATCGAAAATACATGAAAAACAGTCCAATGCGGCAACCTCGTAAGCGGATGAACATTTATGGCTTGAAATTTTATGGTAGTCTGTCGGTAAAAGCCAAAATAAAAAACACATCTTAATATTTTATGAACTTTTTTTAATATATAAGGTAACAAAGTTAAAGCAATAATGTACTTTTATCTAACCTTTGCCGACAAATGTGTGTGTCAACTTAACAGAATCTGGAACCCATCAACTGCAGGTAGGCAAATCTTTGCAACATTGTACAATTTCGTTTTCACGTAAGCACGGCGTGAAAACAAACGTGCATGAACAAGGAGACTTAGGTACGATATCGCCGGACATGAAAGGTCATTAATGAAATTCGTTTTTTACCCATCTCCAAACGACTTTTCCAAAATATTACTAAAGACGGCAAAGGTAAAATTCCAACATGAGTGTTTCATGGGGTGGTTTCAGTTAGGAATTATTTTTCAAAAAATTATTGAACATGATAGGACGGCCCTATATAAAATCCCCACAGGCGGACCGTGCGAGGGTTCCAGAAGCTCGCTGCATGACCTTTGACTTTCTGGCTCTATTATTCATTTTGCACGATAAGATCATCAGTAACTTCAAATGGAAAAACGTTTGCACTCTTACATTTCAGAGACATACCAAACTGGTGTAAGATGTAATACTGTACTTATGCTTTTTATACAATGGACATTAGACACATCAGGGCTGAAATTTGCATGAAAATATCTGCATCTACAAAAATATGCACATTTATAATTACCCCAACCTTTCTCCATGTAACACGTGAAAGATAAACAAATTTCGATTTGAAATTTTCAAGTTGAAACACAGGTGTCACTGCAAAATACTGTGGCATGAAAATTTGTCTTTGCATTGTATTTGATTTTCAGGGCATAGAAGTAAGAGCAAGGTTTGATTGAAAGTTTGTATGTCCTTGCCCTGCTACATAATATCCACTGGATGGATATTGAAGCTTAGACTGTGTCTGAATCTTGTGGCTAAGGCTAGGTCTCTGCTGGTTGTAATACATGAGCACATACCGATGACAGATATAGTCGTAGCTCTGAAAGCCCATCTCAGACACAGCCTAATTGCATCTGGAAACCAATTTCACAGTTCAATGTCTAATTGGCAAGCCCACATTTAAAACTGAAATACTTGAAATTTTAAATAAGCAGTTGAATTTGCTGAATTAGCAGTGCATTGTTGTCTTACACATCCAACACTGCAGTGTATATCCAGAATAAAATCTAACAATGGCCCAAAAATTTCCAACATAAGGAAGGGATTAACCCTTTTAGAAAAAAAGTTGAAATGATGCGTTTTGCCAGTTTATTTCAGAATACAATGCACTCATGAAGCCTGTAGCAGACACAGGCTTGTGAAAATACAGAAATACAAAAGAAAAGACGGGGCTACCATCTACGACCCTCCATGCTCCACAGTATTCTTGTCTTGTAATCCCCAACGGGTTCTAGCCACACTATGCACAACAGTGCACCCTAAATGTACATGCAACACAGCTGAAAGGGGAATCCAAAATGCACAAGCAGATATTGTGACAGGTGTGCAGTGAACAGGATTTACACAAGCATTGGCCCAATTGAGTTATGCAGTGAGCTCTGCCATTTTGTTCAGTGCAACAAAAAGCACCACTTCACCACATTCTGCTGCATTTTGCAGGGATGGGAGTTAATAAATGAGGATACGCTACTGCACGTGGCAACACTGAGCAAGCAACAATTTTTCAACCATGTGAAGTGCTAATTTAGATCAGGGCATGAGGATTCCAACAGGCGCTGAGTTGAAAGACAGTGGCTGCCCAATGCACATCTCATACACTCAGTCAAGTCAGTCAGGAAGCTTCAGCCCAAATTAGGCAAGCCATTCCATCCACATTTTGTAAGATCTGCATCAAACAGCTGTAAGAAATTCCTTAAGATTTCATGCTAGGCTGCATCTAAAGTCTTGGCTAAGGCTAGTGATTACTCATATTCCTATGGGCGTATGTATTACTGCAAGCCGCTGCTGAGACTTTCAGTTGTATTTTCAATATCACACAAACATCTGCCATCTTTGACATCAGGCCATGTCTGAATAGACAGTTGTAATGGCTACGGCTATCAAAAGTGATGCACTGCTGCCCAAATTTAAAGCCACAGCCAAAATATACTCCATTCAGACAAGGCTTGACAACAACTGCAAAGGACTACGGTGTGTGATGCGGAAAGCACAGAATCTTACCCTGTGATAGGACGCCCCAGCTGCTTACGTAAGAAAGGAGAGAAGTAGGACAATAGTCAGATATCCAAAGATGGCATCTAAGGTGTGGAGCACATTGATATATGTATCTTGACTAGAACCCAGACTCTTGAGAGAAAGACCTAAAATGATGCGTTCACATCGTCAAAATATCCCCCGAACACAGGAGCCTTCGCTTTTTTCACCACTTGGTTGAAACCACAGTTTGTGGATACAATGCATATAAACAGATGAATTCTACTTCTTTTTCTGAAGCTAATTAAGCTATTTCAAAGAAAGAACAAGCCATCTGGCACTTGTTTCTTTAGACTTAAGCTACCCCGATTCCTCCGACATGTGAACCTCATTTTAGCATAACATGTATTTCAATGGATTTGGGACTGTCAAGCTAAGCCCTAGGACTTCACATGAGGTTTTATGTCTCCATACAAGTTATGTACCACTAGTTCACTGCCACGTGTTGCATTTCAGAGGACATTTACCAGGGAAAAGTCAGAGGGCTTATTAAGGCCTGGTGTTTCAGAGGGTTTTTGAAATTGGCATCACTGAAAGACTTACATTGTTTGAAGAATATAGAAATACTTCGACCTTTGAATCAATTCATACAGTTAATGTTCCAATATCAATACATTTGTATATGACTTATTATTGAGGTACTGACTGCCAAGTCTGGCGGTTAAAAATCAGGCCAAACCAGTGGTGGAGATAAAACCCAGAATTACCAAGGAATTTATAAAGGTGCATAAATACCCGGTAAGCATGCATTGTAAACGTTGCAGGGAGTTTCCTGTCAATGTAAGCCCATGGACGTGGGATCACTGACACATTTCTTTTTACCCTTGCGCAGCTTCATTCCAGATGCCAGTTGTTCTCCACGAGGGCCTGGATGATCTGCTGGCTGCGGTGTGGCCATATCGGATGCAGCTCCATACTGAGCTTGTCGGCAATGGCGTTGGCCGCCTCTACGGGCGTGATGTCCTCGGCCTCTGCCTTCTGCAGAATCTTCTTGGTCATCAGGAATATCTGATGATTGAGCATTTGGAACTCTGAAGTAAGGCTGTGTCCAAATTGAATGACTCTAGGGCTGAAAATACCGGTAGCACTCGCAGCTGTGGCAGCCGCAAGCTACGTGGTACAACCGACCTCATTTACAGGGCAGCCATGTTTTATCTTGTTCCCCTTATCTTTCACATTCAATGAAATCTGTTGAATGGAATGGTGCCAGACTATTTTTGGTCTCAGTTCCCACTTTCCTTGTTTTTTAGTGGCTTAAAACATTTAGATATAAGTTATCACAAATGTTAAATTATTCTGAACACAAAATAGAATGAATTTGTACTGAACTTTTATTTTGTTGGTGTTATTTTCACTCCAATGTTCCTAAAATGGAAAGTTTTACCTCACTTTCAATCCAAGATGGCTGTCACATGAATACAGTCTATTCCCACAGACACTTCATTATATATCCAACCTTGGCAGAGTAACTCAGATGCAGTCCATGTTTAAGTGCTTACAATACGCTATTCCCTCATTCTCTTGTGTTTGGGTCAGTGGGAGCATTTTGTGCCAGCACCAGTAAATATTTGTAATTCCAAGTGATGTTGTTCCTAGCAATCTTATACCTCTGAACTTGGGTAACTGAAAATGATCGCATCGGGCATAAAAAACACCAGAAAAGGTTGGACTGCGGAGACATCAAAAGTGAAATAGAGTAAATGCCTTTTCAATATCTCAAAATGCTATAGGAATGAAGTGTGACTTTAATTAATGAGTTATCAAATTGGCTGCATCTGTCTTGATCTGCTCGTGTGCCATGGGCTTATAAAATTGAAGTGCATGCCAAGCTGATAATTACCGAATTTTCCCATTCCCGACCAAAGTGTCTGTTTATGGCTGGATCATTGGGAAGCCTTCCGTAGGTCTCGTTGGCACAGTTGACAATACCCTGTGCACGAATAATCCAGCAAATAAATGAAATCAACATTTACACATCAAATGGCAGATAGCTGTTGGCTGATCGTGCATTACTGTACTTGGAAGAGCTCTGTGCCAAATGACATGTTATTGCTTGAAATCAATGCAAGGAATGCTGCGGACAGGGGCCTCCATAGGGAGAAAGCATGCCAACACAGAACAGGCTGGATAACGGCTTTAAAACCGATGATGATGTGGTAGATAATAGTGTGTCAAAGCAATTGGGGGATTTCCTATGTGTCTTATGCAAATGCATCCAATTTCTTGTAGAAACCATGCAAAAAATAAAATCACCACCCTGAAAATCTATTTTCTAAGCGAAAATCTGTGAACCCTTCACAAGCAATATTATCCAGTGACATTTCAGCTGGTGATCTGTTTTTGCCGAGCTGACCTCTTGTGTGATTAAGTTAAAATTCCCAGCCCATCTGTGGTACAACAGCATAATCCTTGCCACAGACAAAACAAGCTGTCTCTTCATCACATCAGTCAATAATCACTCAGGCATTTACCATTCTGTTGGCCAGGTAGTCAACAATGTAGGTGATACCTCGTTCCTTTAGGAGCAGGTTATCGTCGGGGGAGCCAAGCTGGTTGTTGGCTGCCCCGCACACAATCTTGGCTTGTATGGTTGGGATGGTCTCGGCATTGAGAATCTGTGGGTGTTAGAATAGGGTACAATCACTCAGATGTCACACGAAGGGACTTTCATCATTTTTGTCTGAGCACTTCTTTTGAGCAATGACTCAAATTCATGACTGAAACCGGGAAAATAGCTATCTTGCTTGTCTAGTCTGATTTGCCAATTTCTCACTGACGTGGTTTGCAATGCCCATGCATGCCTTTGTAAACTGTCTCAGAGTTTACCCAAGAAAGAAGTTGTCTCTACACATGCAGGTGGATGTAGGACTCTATAAACAGGAGTTTTAAGCAGTCATCAAACAAAATGCCTCTCGTATTCATTTGAGCACATTCAGACAGTAAGAGGGACTGCTTGGAATAATGACTGTCCCACTCATGATACAAATTATTAAAAAAAATACATCTTGAAAATAACTTTATATTGGTGAAAAAGGGGAGGGGGTGTGCATCCCCCAGCTCCCAGATCCGCCCCTGTATATGGATGTGAGAAGTAAAACATTGAGGATCATCAGCAGATATGAGGTAAATGCCGTATGCCTACTTTAAGGGAATCACTATAAAGTTCATGAACCCAGTGAAAAAAGGATTGAAATTTTGCTAATTTCCAATATTGCATAAAACACCTTGACAAAAGCTCATTTTTATAATGTACAATATTGGTGGAGAGATGGACTGGATTTCTACATACATTGCCCAGTGCACAAGGAGATACAATGTCACAGGGATAGGCCAGCACTGCATTATCTTCCAAGGGGACTTTTTCCACTTCCAGAATATCGGTTACCTAACGCAACACAAAAATACTATCAAGGATAAGAAAAGGTTGTGTTGAGCTTCAAGCATCCTGCAGAAAAAGCACATGGGCCAGAAAAATTGATGAAAAAAACCAACACATTCTTTTGACAAAATATCAGAATATCAAAACCTAACAGATGTTGAAAATCACCATTCAAACCAAATCCTGGTTTCGTTTTCCATCTTTGGCTTCCTCTCAGATTTCTTAATCATTTCCAGAATTTATCTACTGCAACCGAGTAAATAAACACTCAAAACTTTGGCCCCACATCAACAGACAATTAATGGTGGGATGAACGCATGTATTTCCTGTGAACCAATAAAATTGTCAAACTCTTCAGACAAGAGCTTAAATACTAATCTGATGAAGTTTCAGTTCTGCGAATGCTGTATACTTCAAAAAAGGCACAATATTTCTGGTCGTCGCGACACAATTCAAAAGTCAATAATAAATTCAATTAATTACATAAACTAAAAATAAAAATGCATGTTGTACATACACACAAAAATATGATCGGTAAAACTCCTGATTTTCAACAGTAATTTGGTTGGCTATTTGTCAGATAGCTGCAAATGATCCACTGTGCAAAGAAATGTTTCTGCAGCATAAAAAAAATGGAAATCTGGCTGGGAGTCTCATCTTGAGCAAATAAATTCATCATCTGGAAGCCTGAACCCAAATGGAAACAAAAGCCAAGTTACGCCTACGGTCACTGAGCCACTCTGTGATAACATCCTCAGTAGGTTTAGCAAAGCGCCCTGTACTGGTTCAATACACTACAGTCATCTCACCCCGGGGAATCGATTCTTCATGTCTGTCACCCTGTTCGTGTGGCAGTCTGTCACATAGATGTGAGAGACATCCTTCTTCAGCAGTTCCTCCACAATGATGGTGGCTGGTGGTCAAAGTGAGATAGTACAGAAGATTACAGGAATACCCTTGGAAGGACGATTTTTGTCGAAATGTGGGCAAACTTTTCCTGCCTGAAGCTTTTTGAAGATGATTTACAGTAACACTATGGTCATAACAATATCTGTGAATTCCTGCCCTACATCCTGGTAAAAGGCCACTCATAACAGTGAAGAACCAGTTGAACTGTATTGAGTTTAACCTGAATTACAATGTATTTCACTTCAAATTGAAGGTCTTCCTTCAGGTGGCAATGTGAAGAGCAGTTCCACATAAAATAAGCTGTGCCCTATAGTCATGTAAATAATACTCTTTGAAGTCACTCTGGAATCTTGGGGATTTTTCTCATCAACTTGCATTCAATTATTTCAAAAGTCTGGGTCAAAAAAACTTGTGACGTGGCAACACAATACGCCTGGAGTGTATCAACCCAGCAAATGGATCTAAATTGAAGAACTGAGTTCAATAGCTCTTTGAATCCTAGACCTGTGACACAACATTTAGCCTGATAGGCTGACCTTGCCCCCTGTGGATGACATATACCACCTGTGTACTCTGGGTAAGAAACAAACCACACGGCACCAAGCACTGCTCATCTGAAAACTAAACAAACCTCTGGCATAGGGATCGGACACAAGGCAGCAAGGGTGTTTCACGTGTCCAACTGCCCACTTCTTTGTCACCAGAGAGGAAATCAGGCGTAAGATTTGAGGGGATGAAGAAGAAATTTTAAAGAACTTCCAGCCAGAAGATTTGTAACGAGCAAAAAAATCAAACACTCTGACTTTTCAAGTTTATAACACTATTGAAATCCTCTCAAAAACTGTTTGGATCCTTTGCTTTTGCTTTTTTTTCTTTGAGTTTTTTGTTTAGTTTTCTTTGTTCTAAGCATAAAAACCTTGAATGCTTGACACTATCATTCCTCAATATTCCAACACATGAAGGATTGAAGGCTGTTTGGGTTAAATCTCTATAAATCTAAAATTCTGGGGTCAACAATCCCCACATCCAGACAAATCCTGAGCAACCACAACTCTAGGGGAACACTTGGGTATGAGGCCAATACAAGAAATGACATTATCAGCTGTGGAACTTACAGACGTTACCCGCTCCCTGGATTGCAATCCGCTTCCCCGTCAGGGTTCCCATGTCCAGGAAATCTAGGGCTCCCTCCATTGCACATATTACACCTGCGAAGAAAGAAACAAAGCCCAGTCACGAACAGAGTAAAGTCAAGTTATGGTCAGGCACGCCTCAAGGAATTCACTATTAAGAATACATTTTTCAAGATGTGGATTTCTTTCAATGCTCACATTTTCAGCAGAGGGCTTGGTTTACAAAACAGCTGGTGAAATTGAAAGTATTGTTTCATATAAAGCTATCCATCATTCAAAACCAGATTGGGGAGTTATAAGCTGTTATATGGAAACTGACGCCAACATCCACGTTGGCAATGCAAAGTCCACAACTTTCATTGCCAGTGCCAACTAAAGTTTTCTGCTGACAAAATGTTTCCTCATTAAACAATGAGGAGGAATATTCAACCAACAAAAGTACCAGGGTTTGGGGTATTTTGTCACAGTGATTTGTGTCTGAACTATTAAAGTGATGCTTGTACAGAACATGTGATGGTACAAAGTATGTTTAACACAACTCGAGTGACAAGATCCCAAACATCAGAATGGCCAAAATGGCCAAGGAAGGTTCTACGAACTATTTCTAAGATACTGTTTTCAATACTAAAAAAAAAATCCACACTTCTCTCAAAGGGTGGAAAAATTAATCTTGACATTCATTTCAAGCTTACAATGGTTGGAATTCCACAAACTGGTCTGCTGAGAGCTTTGTTTTTGTTTCCAAACCCTAACTGCTAGTTTGAATGGGTGGCTTAAGTCGGCAAAAATATCATGACACAACTGTCACCCTCAATTTACAATTGCTTTGGCCTCAAAATTCACATTTATTCCAACAGTGTTACAGAAGAGGGTATTTTCACTAAGTCTTCAGCAGTATTTATTAATTGGTGAAATACATTTTGGCTGCTTGAGATTTTCAACACTGTTTATGTGCAGATGATGAGGCAGTTTGCCAACTAGTGTGGTTGGCACAAACTAAGACTGTGACATGGCAAAAGAAAGGTCACGGCACGGCCTCACCTTTACCAGTCGCAACAGAGGGGTTCCCTGAGCCCCCCTTGTCCTCAGAGATGCACGTTGTGTAGCGGGTGAACATGTGTACGTTGTCCAAGTCTATCACATTCAGACCTACATCTTCGGCAGCCACTAAAAATAGTTTCAATAGTGGTTATCATTCTTCTTATATTAGACAGAACCTACTAAGTTGTCATAATCATGCACACAGAGAAGAGGTTGGGTAAAAGGTCAGTGCTTGGCCTTAAAACAGACGTTTGCTGCTCTGAAAATTCTATTACAAGAATTTTGAAGAGACTTTTGATAATTAACTTGTTAGTCAACATACATGTAAAACAGATCTGACCAATCTCCATTCTCAACTGATAAAACCAGGTGAGGTAAATTCATGTTTGCTCCATTATCCATCTTGCAGCATGCGGTATGAATTATTTCCACGTTGCTGATTACAAGAGGAGCGACCTTCATTCAGGACGGAGTTTATTCATGTTTACTGATGCCTCAAATTCATTGTCCTGAAACATTTATTGCAAATTCCTCCCAACCTTGTGGTGGGCTTTGAAAGCTCTTGACAATAGAGACACATCTGAGAACCAAGCACAGACCCCTATTTGATGGTGCAGGCAATGGTTAGACATGAACGTGACAGGATGGGGGAAGTCATGCAGATGTCACTGGAAAGAAGCTGTTACATTGGTACTCCCATAACAGCACAGTAGCGTACATATAGACATATTAATATTCAATCAGCAGAATGTCCTGAATCCTGATCATATCCTCGTAAATGAGAACAGGTGTTCTTTTCCATATGGTGTACATGGAGGTGGAACCGTAAATTATTTCAGCAATGAAACCTTTCAACTTCTAAATGCATGATTGATCACCACAAATTTCAATATGCAAACAGTTTAACAACAGTTTACATTCCCATGTTTTTTCCCATTTATTGCCAATACTCACAATCAAGTTCTTATACTACTCATGTCCTTCCCAAGAAATTTCTTACCCAAATTTCATAAATTACCATTTCCTTTTTTTCAAGCTTGCTCAACCTTAATGTAAATATGCTCATAAAACTAAGAGTACTCAACTCTTGAAGTTCGTACTCAGTGATTCACTCAGACATCCTGGCCTGGGAGTCCATGAGTTTTATAACTCAGTAAAAGCATCTTGCCAGCATGCATAATATACAAGACAGGCTAAGTGTCTAAGTGCTATATATACTTGCGGAAAGGGAGGTGACAGTAAGACATACAAAGGATATGAATTTGCACAAACATACATGTACATACATGTGGACAATACGGGCGATTCACAATAGCATGCCACCAAGAGTTTGCAACACGTTGGCCAATCATAACGCGCGAAATTTGTCGACCCTTTCCGAACGCGTACTGGGTCGACAAATTTCGCACACTGTGATTGGCCAACGCGTTGCAAACTCTTGGTGGCACACTATTGTGAAACGGCCATATAGGCTGAGTGGTTTAAAATGTTGCTGACCCAAAGTGTATTGCTGACCCTCATAGCATTACAAAATGTGCATTTTCAAAGCACATGCCTTATGCTAGCGTGCACATCTCACGTCTTCCCTTCAAGATTGTTTAAACACAGGCAAAGCTAGGTGCAGGGTGTATCAAGGCAACACGATTCCAACAAAATGGGGTTGGCATGTTAGCATTTTAACACATCACTGGTGCAGAGCAGGAAAGATCATTTCTAGTCTTATCAAGAATAGACGCCTTGTGGGGAATCTTCAAATAGAACTTCAAAAAGATCATATTGAACGATTACTGTTGGTAATTATTGACAGTGGGATTGACTAGCTTTATCTATTTATCTAAAATTTCCCAGGGTTCTTATTCTCTTTCATTTTTTTCATTTTTCCAATTCGTATTTTTTTATTTCAAACTTAGGTAATTGATAACTGACAAACAGTGTGTCTTGTCTGTCTAGTGTTTGTCTTTTGTGCGTGGTATTTAAACAGTAACTATAAATTGATTTAAGGGCCCACGATCATAAGCTTTGCTTTTTAGTGGGTACCTCCACGGCTCCCCCCCGTGTCAAATGTATTGTTTGAAAATTCAGATTGTATGTATGCAAAACAGTGGAAAATAAATGAACATGAACAAAAAAAGATGAACATGAGCTGACCTCTCACCGCAAGGAAAGGCTAATACAGTAAAAAGATAATCGATGACTCGCGGTGTCGTGTTGCTGGTAGCGACGTTTCGGCTGCTAGTGCTGCTAGCCTTCATCAGGCAACTGAAGTCTGGATGCTGCAGGGTCTGCTATATACCGCCGGACTGCGTCCTCCGCGTGTCCCCCGCCGTGGAAGCGACACGTCGATGACACCTTTGTCATTGCACCACGAGATCAAACCAGCCGTCTCCTCAACCACCTGAACAGTCTCAAACCCAGCATCCAGTTCACCATCGAAAATGAGCAAGACAACAGCATTGCATTCCTGGACACCATGGTCCACAGGGAACCCGACGGCAGCCTGACCAGCACTGTGTATCGCAAGCCTACCCACACCGACCAGTACCTGGCCTTTGACTCACACCACCCAGTGTCCATCAAGAGGGGCGTGGCCAAGTGCCTACATGACCGCGCCTCACGCCTAGTTACCAGACCACGCCACACAGCCGCCGAGTCACCGCTGCCCTCAC